TAAACACCTCTTCCAGTGTAAGAAGTTATCCTGCTTGAGCTTGGGTAGTCTGGGGCCTTCTGCCTCAACTAAATTCCTTCCTTCCATTAAAACAATTAAAAATCAATCTTAAAATTTCCAAATTTGAACAAAATTAAAATTCAGGAGCAAAAACAAAAAATGCCAAAATAATCAAAACAATATAAATCAAAACAAAATAAACAAAACAAGACCCCTGAGCTCCCAGAGGCAACAAAGGTCCTGTCCTTTATATCATCCCCATCCCACATGTGTCACCACCCTGGTGATTAACTGCCTTTTGCATCCCGCTTCCTTGGGGTACACCTTCTCCCGCAGATCAAGGCAGGCCACTTTGATGAGCGCTACGTGCTGTCCTCACGAGTGCGGACGGGCCGCAGCATCCGGGGTCTCAGCTTGCCTCCAGCTTGCAGCCGGGCCGAGCGCCGAGAGGTGGAGAGGGTCACGGCAGAAGCCCTGGCTGGCCTGAGCGGAGACCTGGCTGGCAAATATTACCGCCTCAGTGAGATGACGGACAAGGAGCAGCAGCAGCTCATTGATGTGAGTGGTGGGGAAGCCCAGTGGCCGGGGGGTGGGGTGCATTTGTGGGTTGGTGGGTGTGCATAAGGGCTGAGCGATATATCAATATATCGTCCAAAACCAGTTTGCAGTCCATATTGTGGTTATCAGTTTCATAATTTTTGACCTGCCTGACAATATATCGTAAATCATGATATGTGTGTCTGCACTATGCAAAAATAACGATGCAGGGAAAACCGTGACACCAGCCAATGTCTCAACATTGCTCCATCCTTATTTCAGACATCATAATATATCAGTATATTGTGGTTTAGCTGGTGATATATCACCATGTCGAAAACCAGATTTTGCCCAGCCCTAGTGTAAAAGGGAGACATTGGAGCACCCCACAATTGCCTAACCTTGGCTCCCATAGGTTCAGGTCAGGGGTCACAAGCAAGAGACTTCAGCCAGGAGATAGAAGCAAAACAGTGGCCAGTAGGCCTGATCTTTATTGTTTCAGCAAGACTTCAAATTCCCACATAGAAGAAGCAGTGAGACGCCCCGAACAAAGGGTGGCTCCTTTTTATATAAGTTTCCCAAATTACCCATAACACCATTAGTAAAACATCATACATTTGTCATAACTACCGGTACGTCATAAATTGGGAAGGGTCTCCTGGCTGAAACCTGAGCACCAGGCTTGTCCTGTCGCTCACGTGACCTCCACCTTCCAATCTTTAGGTGAAACAAAGGTAAGTATTTACATTTTCCCAGCCAAGTTAAGCACGCCCGTTGTCTTGACCGAGACTCCAGTCCACTGAGGTTGGGTTTGCGATTGTTCTTGGAATGACTTGTCTGGCACTCAGGTGCCAGGATGCCAGTGATTATCACCCCCCAGGCAGTGGGGCTGCTGAGTGCGTGGTCTCATGCTTCAGGGATTAAAGCTGCCCCTACCTATGTCCCAAGCTCCTCTCCTGTTAGCCATTTTCTTTCTGAGTAGAAGAACATTGGAATGGTGTATATCCATCACATATGAATTTCTAAAGTTTTCCCATTGAGCCAGTACATAGATCCATTTATCAGTGAATTGCTACATTTGGTAATGGAGGCTCGTTGTCTTTGCCTTTGGCTTGTGGTGGGGGGAAGGTCTCTCTCACACACACCCTTCCAATTTTCTGGTAACACTAGTGTGCACAATCAGGGCCTGCTTGTGTGTGGACTGTCACCCAAGCTCTTCTTAGTGGGCAGGACTGGGCTGGGCAGCCCAAAGGCGGACTGGCCTGAGACTGCTCTCCCTCCTTGCTGGGAGCCTGTTACTGCCTCTTTTGGTGTAGCATGGCAAGGCATGCCACTCATTTCATGTAGGACTATTGATGGCTACTAGCCATGATGGCTATACTCAGCCTCCACAGTTGGAGGCAGACATGCTTTTGAAGACCAGCTGCTGGAAACCACAGGAGGGGAGAGTTGCTCGTGTGCTCGAATCCTGCTTGCAGGTTTCCCATAGGCATCTGGGTGGCCACTGTGAGAGCAGAATGCTGGACTAGATGGGCCTGACAGAGCAGGCTCTTCTGATGTTCTTGGTCCCCCTGGGACTGGAACATGGTTGGACCAAGACACTGCTGCTGTGCTGATTGCCTGCCTCTCTGGTCCGCAGCAGCTGCATCCTCACATCCCCCCTCAGGTCTCCTTAGGAGAACATCCCTAGGCACTGCCCCACATCTCAGGTTGACCCTGGCCACAATTCTTAGTTCCTGCCTGCCCAGTTGGGTGGGTCCCAGCAAAACCCCAGCTCACCATCACCTCTTCTCCTTCCCAGGATCACTTCCTATTTGACAAACCTGTCTCCCCTCTGCTGACAGCTGCAGGCATGGCTCGTGACTGGCCTGATGCCCGAGGAATCTGGTATGGCTTCTGGCTTCTTCTTCTGGTATGGTATGGAGTGAGTGGGTGGGCAGGCAGCCATAGACCCTCTTGAGAGGCAGGCATCCCCCCCCCCCAGTCACTCAGATCAATGGCTCTGCAGCCAAGTCTGTCCCCAGCAGCTGACATGCCCTCCTTGAAACTGAAATGCTCCCCCTTTAATCTTTTAGAAATGAAATGAAATGAAATGCAGGGGCAGAGGGGGAATGCCTGCCTCTCAAGAGGGTCTGTTGAAGGGGGGCCCTTCTTCCGCATATTCACCTGCTGACCTGGAGAGAGATGGCCTTGGAGAGGAAGGCTGCATCTCAAGCAGGAAGAGGGTCACTCCGGAAGCCCAGACTTATGAAGGGCAAAGCAAGAGCTAACAATCATAGAGTTAGAAGGATCTCCAAGCATCATCTGGTTGAAACCCCTGCTTGGCACAGGTCAGGGAGACACGTCCAGTCAGGGCCAGGCCAAAAACTTTTGGCACCTAAGGTAGACCCCCAAACAGCATCCACCTCCCCACTAGGGAAGAAAGGGAGGTGGAAGATCTACATCAGGATCTGCTGCCCCAGAGAATCGCCACCTGAGGCAGTTGCCTCATTTTGCCTCATGTGTGGGCCGGCCCCACTGGCGGAGGAAGGGGTGTGTGGTGGGTGTGGTCTGCTCCAGGTGTCATCCCTGAGGGGGGTGTCATTGCCACGTCGTGCCCCTGGGACGTTTGCTGCGTGTGGCACCCTTCCCCCCAGGACCCTAGCCCCACCCCAGTGGGTGGCTAGCCTCGCCCCTGGGTGCACAGAATGTGTGCCGCTCCAGGTACCAGAGCAGCCAGCTCCGCCTCTGGCCAGCCCTGATTCCAATCAAGCCCAGGCAGTGTCTAGCCTGGCACATTCCCACCCCACCCCAGTAACTGCCAATCCCTCTCTTCAGGCACAACCACGAGAAAACCTTCCTGGTCTGGGTCAATGAGGAGGACCACACCCGTGTCATTTCCATGGAGAAAGGAGGCAACATGAAGAGAGTATTTGAGAGGTTCTGCCGGGGCTTGAAGGAGGTGAGCAGCAAGTCCTCTGGCCCCACAGCCCCACCCTGCCCAAGGCATCTCAGGTTCGGCTGAACATGGTGGCAGCATCCTGATTAGTAAAGCTCAGGCCACCGTGGATCTGGTCCTGGGCCACATTGCAAGGCAGGAGGAAGGCTCTGCTCCAAGGGTTGAGCTGGCCCAGAGAAGGGGCCCAGTCTCGTGGGGTGCTGTCCTTGACTTCTGCCTGCTTCCCCTGCATACAGGTGGAGCGCCTGATCCAGGAGAGGGGCTGGGAGTTCATGTGGAACGAGAGGCTGGGCTACATCCTGACATGCCCCTCCAACCTGGGCACTGGACTGCGTGCTGGGGTGCACATCAAGCTGCCGCTGCTGAGCAAGGTAAAGCCTGGGGTGGGTGGAGGGGTCCTACGCAGCGTGATGCTCCTGGGCTGAGGCCCCCAACAGTTCCTTCCCCACAGGATGTTTGAAACTCCAAGCAGGACACTCCCTTTCAGGTATCTAGTTCTCACCGTGGACTGTCCCCAGTAGCCTCAAGCTAATGCTTCCCCACCCCACAGTCACAGTTCTGTAAACCCCAAATACTTTGCAGCACTGACTTCTACCTGCAACCTCCTCTGCAGGATAGCCGCTTCTCAAAGATCCTGGAGAACCTGAGGCTGCAGAAACGTGGCACGGGTGGTGTGGACACAGCCGCCACGGGGGGCACCTTTGATATTTCTAACCTGGATCGCCTGGGCAAATCAGAGGTAACTGGGGAGGAGAGTCAGCTTTGCTGGGTGCAAAGCGTGGAGTGTAGAGGGTATGGCACTCGAGCATCCTTGCCATCCTGGGTGGAGGGAGGGGAGCATGAAGCGGGGTGTCCACGTGGCAAGGGAGATTGCAAGGAAGGCCCTCATTCCCTTTGCAGCTTGCTGGGGGAGGAGAAGGAACTTGGTGGAGCAACAGGGCTGAGCCATGGATGTGGGGTGGCAGCAACAACCAGTGCCTCAAAGGACCATGGTGGGTCTCCTTTGAGCTGCCCTCTCCAGCTTGGCTTGTTCTGTTCCTGCCCCTGCCAGGTGGAGCTGGTGCAGCTAGTGATTGACGGTGTCAACTACCTGATTGACTGCGAACGGCGCCTGGAGCGGGGCCAGGACATCCGCATCCCTTCGCCTGTGGCCCAGTTCCGCAGCTGAGCCCAGTCCAGCCCAGGGCTCTTTGCAGACACCAGTGGGCAGAAGTCCTGTGTGGGCAGGAGGCACACGATGCACTGCACCAAACCCCATAAAACTCTGGCTGCTGTAACATTCTCCTGTCTCTGGCTGAGATTTGTACCACTTGGAGGGCAGGGGGGAGGAAGGGGCCCCAGGCCAGACAGGGCCAAGACACCTGCCCAGCATGCAGAAGTTCAATCCCCAGTCAAAATTATCCTGCAGAGATGCTGCCAGTCCATGTCGACAGTTCTGAGACAGGTGGTCACACTGGTCGCCTCGTCTGCCCCGTGGTACTGGAGGCAGTGGGGGTGGGGGGCACAAGACAGTCGCAGGCACCAGTCAATCAGTGCAAAGGGGCAGCTTTATTGCAAGGCCAGGGGCCCCCCGAAAGTCAAAAGGAGGCAGCAAGATGGAAGCAGCAGCAAAACAGCAGGACGAAGCCCTGAGCCACTTCTGCCTGTGGAGGAAGAAGGAGGAAGAGGAGCAAAGCTTCACTGGAGGGGCCAGGGGCAGCACAGCACTGGGAGGTGGCATGCCAGGGGGCAGTGCCCATGGTGAGGCATGCAGGGGTCAAGGCAGGGGTGGGCACATACTCCTGTGGTCCTGGCAGGGCTCCCCTTCACATTGCGCCAGCTCCAGGGCCCATTTTTGCTTAGGGCTGAGGAGTCCGTACTGCTGGGCTGTCACGGCCGATGCCTGGGGGCTTGTCAGACTGAGCAGCTGGGCTGGGCTGAACACCACCTGCAGGGGAGCAGAGAAAGGCGAGGCAGGGCCCACCAGGAGCTGCCAGCGCAAGTGGGATGATGCTCCACCCCCACCCCTTTCCGCTGGGCCCAGCCCTGGAGGGGCAGCCCCTGCCTGGCCCACATTTAGAGCCCCAGCTGAGAGGCCCGTCCCGGGCTTCCCCCTCCCCGTCCCAGACCCCCAGCACAACAAGGCACTCACTGCAAATTTGGGGGCGGGGATCAAGGCAACCGCCTCTGGGGTCAGAGCCCGAAGCTGCTCTGGGACGAGGGACGAGAGGACGATGTCTGGCAGCCCCGCTGGGAAGGAGAGAAAGAGGCCGGTGGTGCCCACCCAGGGTGTGTTGCCCCAAAAGCAAGACAGAAGCAAGGACTCTCTCCACCACACAGCCACCGACCTGCCAGCGTCCCAATCTCTGTGAAAATCCCTGGGCCCCACATGGCGACAGGCCCAAAGGCAGAGGGGGTGACCAGGAGCCAGGCCAGGGCTTCCAGTTTCTCCTCAGAGCAGCTGAGATGGAGCAACCCCAGGAAGGAGGCCGCTTTGCTGTGGGAAGGAAGAGGGCTGTAGCTGGGGTGCAGGGGGGCAGGTGGGGGCCTCTGCACCAAAACAGAAACTGGAAACTGGCGTGTGTCCTGCCTGCAGCCGTAGAAGGCTGGGAGCAGCAACCCCTCCAAGGTTACAGGGCTCCCAGGCCCTCTGCCAATCCCTGTGCCTTCCAGCCTCCCTACCTGAATTCCTGGCTGTTGAGCTGCCTGATCTCCGCCACCTGCAGCCCACATAGGAGGTGCCCAAGAGACACCAAGTCCAGCAGTGACAGGTTTTCCGCGCTCACCTTGTGTTGCTTTGCAAGCAGGCTGCCAACCACGGCCTGCATCTGGGTGTGCAGAGAGACAATGGGGAGGCCCCATCAGGACTTTGCCAGGCACCCAGGCAAAGCCACGTGGTTGTGGCTGGCTGGCAGCTTCTGCCCAGGCTGGCTCAGAAGGCCTGAGATCACAAAAGGGGATGGAAGGTGGCATATTCCCTCTGAAGCTCAACCTGGTCACAGGGACACAGTTGTCTCCATGGATCAAATCAGAAGCTGGGATGGCTTTCGTAATTCCGGGACTTTGCCTGGAAAATCGGGACACTTGGGAGGTATGCAGTGGGTGAGCCAGGAAAATGAAGGGCCCCTCACCTGCCTCTCTGTCCAGCCTTCCAGGCCCCCCAGCACTGACAAGGCTCCCCAGTCAGGAATCTCCAGCTCCTGTAGCTCCTCTTCGCTCAGCTGGAGGGCTAGGAAACCCAACTGCAGCATCTCCACTGCGCCCATTGCCCAGGTCGGCCCCAGAACCTGCAAGCACAGGGGGACCCTCCTAAGCCACCGTCCCTTCCTTCGCACCATGGAGACACCCTCCCCCCAAAGAAAAACCTGCTCATGGATGTCCCACTCCTGAACAAGAGGGCTTCAAGGTCCAACTGCATGAAAGGCCTCCCTCTAGGCTGGACAGGCTGTCCCCCTGGGCAATCCCCCACCCGCCCCTTTGGGGCTGAGGGAGGCCCAAAATGTTCGTGGGCTATTTATGGCAGGAACCGTCTTCAACCAAGGCCCTGGGTGGGTTTCAAGGCCTGGCCTACACACTGGAAGGGACCTACTAAAGTTAATTGACGAGACTCAGGTTCATTCATTCCAATGGGTCTACTCTGACGTACCCGCCAACATTTCTCCAATGAAAATAGGGACGTCTTAAGGAAAAACAGGACATTCCAGGGTCAAATCAGAAACAGGGACAGCTTCTGTGCATCTGGGATGGTCCCTTGAAAATAGGGACACTTAGAGGGTCTGCTCTGAGTCAGAGATGGCTAATACCCTGCCCCCCGGTGCCATGGGACCCTCTGGAGTCAGAATACAGTCTGGTGGAGAACTCACCTCTTTGGCTTTGCTGAGAGCAGCCTGGCGCTGATACGGACGGAGGGCGAGGTCCTGACTGATGAGGCTCAGGCAGTCATGGAACTGGTCCAGCTCCATCGCGCTGATCTGGGTGGCGCTCCAGGCCGAGGGGAAAGAGGCCCGGATGTCGGAGCAGCTGGGCACAGGTTCTGCACAGGGAGTCCGGCAGGGGTGGGGGTGGGCAATGAGCTAGCCCAAAGGGACAGGGAGGGTCCCTAACCCCTCCCCTTGGCCTGAGTGTGCTTCAGGGGCACCTCCTCAGACAGAAGCTCACCTTCCTGGGAGCCCTCCAGGCTCCTCCTCACCAGGGCCTCTTTCTGGGCCTGCAGCCCCCCGGCTGGCCCTTGAGGGTCACACAGCCGGCCCTGCTCACTCTCCTCCCACAGCTTCTGGCTCTGCAGCAGCTGCTCCACAAGGTCCTTGCTCAGCACCGCCTGGAGCAGAACAGGATGGGAGAGGCAGGTCATAGAATTATGGAACTGTAGAGTTGGAAGGAACCCCAGCGATCATCTAGCCCAACTCCCTGCAATGCAGGAATCACAGCTAAGCAAGGCAGAGAGGCAGGGACACACTGACACAGCAGAGCCCATCTGTGGGGCTCCTCTCCCCACTTCACCCCCTCAGCCCACCCCCCCTCCCCAAGCAATCAGATGATGCAATGTCTGACAATTCTTTTTTAAAAAAAAACATTTATGCATTTTACATATGCAATGTGTGATAATTCTTATAAAGAACTACTTGCCAATCAGTGCATGAGCAAAGGTCCAGAGGGTGGGGATCGAGGCAGATCTACTATAAACTAATGAAACTTAAGCTTCAGGGCCCGTAATCCCAGAGGGACCCCAGAAGTGATTTTAGTTCACATGGCTTAACAATTTTGGGTGTAGTGGACCCAATTTGCATGACTAAAATGGATTATTTTGTTTGTTGGATATAATTCAACGATCCCAAAATTTGAGAGTCAACAGCACAGATGTTGTAAAGGTGAACTGTTGCAGTAACTTGAAAATGATAAGGCATAGGGAAATTTTATTTACACCAATGACGTTGACGTGTGAGATGATTGAGGGCAGTAATTTTAATCAAAAACTGAGACGTAGTAGTTATTATTATTAATTTTAAGTGATCTGTCGTGGAACAATCCCACTGAAGAAGGTAACAGAGGTTACCCAGACCACATTCTTGGTTGTGATGGGGCCCTCATAACATTCCAAGCTTCAGGGCTCCCCAAATGTAGGTCCACCACTGGTGAGGGTGCCACTGGAGGTCAGCCCTGGCGGCTAGGTGGAGCGTCCATGTCCAGAGGCAGTCTGCGGCTGATTGCTGGATGGGGATGAGGGTGGGGAGAACACACACACCATGGCTACACTTTGCAATCAGAGCTATTTGGCAGTGAGGCAGAATGCTGAAGGACACTCCAGCACAGGAGATAGACCATCACCCTGCCTCACCTGGGGGATTCGCTGGGTGCTCTCCGGAGGGAGCCTGAACACCAAATGCCCCAGCTGCTCCAGCTCCACCTGGCTCCAGTGCTCTGGGTCCCTGTAGTGGTGAAACAGTGAGGTGGTCATGGAGGCAAGCCGAGACCTTGAGCTCAGCCAGGGTCCAAAAAGGCACCTTCCTCACCCCAAAGCACCATCTGCCATCAGCAGCTGCCCAAGCACTTCCGCAACTCCATTATCAAGGCAGGTCTCCCGTAGCTCATCCAGGTGTTGGAGCAGATTTGCAGGATTGGCATGGACCAGGTTGTCGGGCTCCAGGAAGCCCACCAAAGGGCCAAGCAAGCTCAATATCTCCACTGAGATGTCTGCCTCCCCTTGGGACCTTTGCTGAAATACAGAGGGGAGGGAGGTGGGTGGATGGCTCCCACTGGTCCCAACCAGGAGTGGTGGTGCTACAAGGAGTTTGGCTTGGGAAGGGTAACTTTGCTGCTGTCCCATCCCTGAGCCCAATGACAGGTGCCTGAAGATGCAGCACTCCATCAGAGCTCACTGTTGCATTTTGGCATAGGGAGAGAGGGAGGGAGGGGAGAGTGCCCCAAGGAATTTCCTTCCCTGTGGTCCTCCTGCACCTGGAAATGATGGAATATGTCCCAGGTGAGCCTCCAGTTATTGGCTCATTTTGGACCTCACACTATAACTATTGTCCCCATTTCACAGATCCCAAGCAAACCAATAAACCCACAGCAGAGCTGGTGGTGGTGGTGGTGGGGAGGTGGAGAAGTGCACTGGGTTCCAGCTGTGCCACTCTGGCTCTCAAAACTGGTCGCTGCTCCTCTCCCCCTTACCAGTAGTGCCTGCAAACTGTGCCGGGCGAGGGCGGCCCGTCGAGGAGGTGGCAAGACCAGCAGGTTGTGTGGGTGGCTCCTTACATAGTCCAAGATCAGCAGGAAGGACTTGCCAGGAAGCTTGTCCAGCAGGTGAGTCCTGGCCAAGAAGGAACACCTCACTTCAGCAGCAAGAAGCAGGCCAGGCAAGGCAGGGGAGGCAGGGAGGAGCGCTGGATCTGGCCCAGTAGCACAGAATCAAGGGGGTGAAAGGAACATGCCCCCCCACCTCAGTCAATGCAGGAAACCCATGAGGCAGCCTGCTGCACTGATGAAAAAAGCCTGAAGACTCAGGAAGGTCTTCCTATAGGTTCCTCTAGCAGCAGGTTCTCAACCTGTGGGTCCCCAGATGTTGTTGGACTACAACTCCCATCATCCCAGCTCTCCCATCAACTCCCATCATCCCAGCTCTCCCATCAACTCCCATCATCCCAGCTCTGGCCTTGCTAGCTAGGGATTATGGGAGTTGTAGTTCAACAACATCTGGGGCCCACAGATTGAGAAAGGCTGCAAGTCTTTTCCATGGCAGATATTTGAATATGGCTCTCTCTCCTCACGCCAAAACATACCCAGCACCTTTGATGTCTTTCTTAGCCACTAGGGGGAGCTTCCATGCAGCCAAGAGGTCCGGTGCCCATCAAATCCTTGGTCACAAGGAGGCAGCACAAGAGGTTTGCCGCCACCTACCCAACCGGGTGTGTTGAGTGGGAGGGAGGAGAGGCACTCGGGTGGGGAAGCAGGTCACCTACGGCAAGTCCATGAGGAACTGGGGTCCCAGCCCCAGCAACTCCGAAGTAGAGAGGCTGGGTCTCCTCTGGATCTCCTCCCAGATGCATCCTTTCTGGAAACAAAGGCACAGCTTGACATTAATTGAGGAGGGGGGCATTATGTGCCCAGGCCCATTGCTCTGCACCCGCTGAGCCCATTCCCTGCTTCCATCCAGGGTAGGCCTCTCCCCAATGCCTTCTTACCAGGCTCCAGGGCAGGTGGAGGTCTTGGCTGTAGAGAGCTTCCAGAACAGCCAGAAAATCTGCCCCAGCTTCAAAGGTCTGCAGAGCGGTGCAGGATAGTCCCATGGCCAGGTGTCCCAGTCCCCTGCCATGGGGAGAGAGTTCAGCCATTGCCACCCATGTCATCCCGTTAGCAGAGGAGGGGAGAAGAAGCGGAGTTGGCAGGGGTGTGGCTCTCACCAGATCAGGTCCCCCGTCATGTTGGCACTAGCTTCAATGCTCTGCCAAAGGAACTGGGCCTGAGAAAGAGGAACGTAAAAAGAAGCTAGGAAGCTGCCTTGTGCCAAGCCAGACCGTGGGTCCATCTAGGTCAGCACTGTCAGAATGGACTGACAGCAGCTCTCCAGGCTTTCAGGCAGGGAACAATTCCCAGCTTCCCCTGGAGATGCCTATGGCTGTCTGCATGCTCTACCCCTGAGCTATGGAGACACCACAGGGAGTGAACGACACCCTTTGCTTTGGCCTCCCATCACCCTGCCCAGCACTCTTCTCCCATACCTGCTGTGGGGACCAAGGTGCCTTCCGGTGCCAGCTGCTCCTCCCCAGCAGGGCCTGGGTGTCCACCTGCAGGAGCTTGAGAGGGACAGCAGGCAGGAGGCAGTCCAGGTGCGCACTGAGGACAGGGGACTCTGGGCCATACCTCTGGGACAGGCACAAGAAGGGGACATGCAGTTAGGGTGGCTGAAGCCATTTGAGGGCACCACCCCCACCCGAATCCCTGTGGGCCTCGCCAGATACCTGCAGAGCTTGAAGCAGACCTGCCTTTTGAGCTCCTGAGAGATGGGGCAGAGTGGGGCCCACACATGCACAGCCTCTGGCCAAGACAGCAGCCACAGCCACCTCCAGAGATTGGGGACCCAGGCCCGCGAGGAGGGAGCAGAGAGGCTCAGCCCCACTCAGTGTCACCTGCAGAGACAGAAGGCAGGGTGGGAGGGAGGCCACAGATCCTATCACTGGCAACCAAGGGGTGGGGTGGTGGTACTGGTGGGGCTTTGGATCCCCCTGCCCAACAGTATCAGCAGACAGGGAGATGCTTTGCTTTCCATTTTGGATTGAACAAGCATGTCTGTAGCTTGCAGGTTTACAAACGGTATAATAGAGGCAAGATTCCCAGGGAGCTCCTCCCTCCCCAGACTAGACTTTATTTCTCACTAGTTATTTTCAGCTCTTCTTCCCTGAAGAAGAGTGAGGTGGCAGGTGAGGTTGCAGATTCTCCAAGCCAAGCTGGGGTCTGCTATCTTCAGAGCTGTGGGTCTGCCAACTGCTGACCTGTCCCTGCCGTCTAGACCAGATCAAACAAGGAGGCCTCTGCCCCAGACCTCCACATCCACCTTTGAGCTTCACCTTCTGGGTGATACTCACATTCTCCATGCGCAGGGCCTGCGAGAGCAGCAGGAGAGCCTGAAGGGAAGAAGGATCTCTCAGTGTGGCAGCACCTCCACTTTGGAACTCCCTGCCTATTGATACCTGGCAGGCTCCTTCCTTGTACTATATTTTCAGTGCCTGCTAAAAACATTCTTATTTATATAAGCCCACCCAGATGCTTAGAAAGTTGATTGAGTTTTAGGCTGGATCTACATCGACCTTTTAAACATTATTAAATATACATAATGTTCTGTAACGTTTAATGCAGTTTCCCATGGCTGGTGGCTCGCTGCTCTGCAGTGCCCTCTGGTGTCACACTTTAATAAGACATTTTTAATGTTATAAAGCATGAGGATAGATCCGCCCCTAAATCTGCTTTCAGGTTTTTTTGCTGTTGTAACTTTTTGAAAGTTTAAATTTATTGTTGCTAATTTTTCTTATTGATAGCCATTGTTTTATATTTAGAAGGTGGCTTTTAAAAAACCCCCAACAAATAAGCAAGCTGTCTGAGCATAAGGAAGTGGAAGCCCTAGCCCATCCCCATGACAGGGAGTTGGTGGGACTGACCTAGGCAGGCTGCTGCTGGCCCCAGCTCTGGAGAGGAATGGCTCAAATTTGCCTAACACCCACCCACCCCCACGGCAGATGCAGAGCATACCCTCAGGACGACTCACCTGGGCACGGCTAAGCTGTGCTGCTTGCAGCTCTGGGAGGATAGCCCCTACCTGAGACTCTGACAGGCCCCGCAGGAACTCCACCCCCATGGCTGGCACAAGACCCCGCCAGGATTGCAGCTCGTGGGAGCCCACCGAGGAAGGCAGGAGCTCTGCCAGGGCATGGGCCAGCTGGAAGAAGAAGGAGGAGAAGGAGGAGGAGGAGAGGAAGAAGAAGGAGAAGGCAATGGCAAGTCAGATGAGGTGGTGGCCCAACCAGGGGAAGGAGCCAGCTTTGGTAAAGGAGGCTTCAGTCCTGGAGCAGAGGAGGGTTCTGCAGGTTTGCTTCCAGTTGGGAGAGCATCACCAGAGCTGGATCTCTATGAAGAGTAGTTTGCCCCCAGAAGAAGGCTGAAGGACAGTGGGGAGAAAAGTCCTCAGCAGCACTGGCCCTAGGCTAGGCTCTGCTGTGCCCAAGAGAGGCTGGTCCTCTTCACCACTCACCTGCCCATGAGGGTCCACCACCCCTCTGGCCACACACTCCAGGAGGTGCTTCTCAATCGGCCCCCACAGATCTTGCAAGGGGGAGATCAGACGCAAGTCCCCGATGCTGAGGAAGCAGGTGAGAGCCCCGAGCCTGTGAGGATGGGGGAGGGGGCACAGGCAGAAGTGGGCTGTTGGGACTTGCTCGCTTGGTGCTAGCCACACCCCATGTAGGCCTGCCTGCTGTTCTAGACCACAAACTCTGATGCTTCTGGCCGGTTTTTGCTCCAGATACGCAAAAGGTGATGTTCCTCCCCCTCTGAAGAACTTTTGCTCTTTCAAGAAAGGTCCAGTTCATAGGAATCAAGTTGGGGAGAGTTCCTGTTGCCATCAGCTCCTGCTTTTGGGCTTCCCACTGGGGAATCCGGCTGGCCACTGTGAGAACAGGATGCTGGACCAGATGGAACCCCTCAGCCTGACCCAGCTGCTGCTGCAGGGCCCTTCTGAAGTTCACATGTTCTGTACACCCCATGTGTCCACAGACTTTGAAAGAGAACCATGTGGACAAATAGCCTTCCATCTGGGGTTCCTCAACTCCTACTGCCATAACGCATCTTTGCCAGGAAATACTTTGGGGACATAACTCCTGTCTGGTCTAGCAACAATGATGTCCCCAGGGTCACCTTTGGTTTGTCTCTTGAACGCAGCATGCCTTGCTCTCCCTTGGACCCAAAGCCATGTGGAGTGCTGCCTTGGGAGGAAATCTCTTCCCTTGTGAACTCCTGCCTTAAACAGCTGCACCCAGCAATAAGTGGGATATCCTGGGACACAAAATCACCCAGGTCAGTTTGCTCCCAAGCCTGCCTCCCTACTGCTCACCTGCACATCTGCTCCTCGGTGCTCTCATGGCTCCTGTTGAGCAAACTACGTGCTACATGGCGCCCTTGAGCCAGGCCCAGCTCAGCCTCCTGCCAGCCATTCACCAAGCTCTGGATCTGGAGGGACACACCAACATTTAAGCGTTGTTTGACAGTGGAATGGACTGCCTTGCAGGTTTTAAAGCAGAGGTCAGATGGCCATTTGGCATGGATTCTTTAGCTGTGATTCCTGCATTGCAGGGGTTGGACAACATGACCAACCTTCTAACTCTACAATTCTATTATTTTATGGAAGCACCATCCCTGGCATAAGTGGGTACTCTGGGGCATGCTAACCCCCCCCCCCCCCGGTGTTCCAGAGGGTGCACCACCAGCTTCCAGTCCTATGGGGAGGGGACTGGAGGCAGGGACTGCACCTTCTCACAAAGGGTTTATCCCCACAGAGGCAGCAGAGAGCTTGCCCAGCTTTCCAGGGGCAACTGAAGGACACCCACCCCGGCTGCTCTCAGCCTCTGCACCCGGTCCCACCTGCTGCGGTGTTAGCTGAAGGAAGTGGCCCAGTGGCAGGTGAGGAAGGAGAGGCTGGAGGCTGTGAAGGAACTCCGGGGGCCAGGAAGGGACTTCGCCCAGGAGGTGCTCAGCCTGCAGGAGGCGCTGCACTAGGGCTCGCTTTTGTGCCAGCGTCATCCGGGCACTTTGGCTGCTAATGATGGCCAAGCTGAGGGTTGGAGAGGAGAAGAAAGAGGCCACGTTAGCAAGAGAAGTTCCCCCACCCCTCACCTGAGAAAACTACAGGCACACAGACAGCATGCTGAGTGAAGGACTACCTGGCCCAATGCCAGGCATGAGGCCAGGGGGATGGGCACAGCCTAAGAAGACCAACATAAGCAATGCTTCTGGTGAAATGAGAGGGCCCAGACCCTCCCTGCAGTAAGAGGGGCTGGTTGTGGCTATTCAGAAGTGACAGAAAGGACATTCTATTCTGACCACCCTCTCCACAAGAGGTCCGGAAGGTAGCAACATGAGAACAGGCCTTTCCTGCAGTGGCTCCCTGTTTGTGGAATGCTCTCCCCAGGAAGACTCGCCTAGCACCATCATCATTTATCTTTAGGCACCAGGCAAAAACTTTCCTCTATAACCAGGCATTTGGCCTTCAGCTCTCTGTGACCTTTTAGAAGTAGGTGGGATGTTTCTAATGTATTTCCCCTTCCTCTTGGTTTTAATGTATCTCTGTGGGATTTATTGTCTATTTGGTGGGTTGTAAGTCACTTTGGGTTGCCCTGGGCATGATAAAGCGACTGACAAATTTAATAAATAAATGCTCAGGCACCATCTTTCCTGAAGGTTTCCTGCCACAAGACTGAAAGTGCATTTGGGGACTAACCCTACCTTAATTAGGACCTGGGGCTAAACTCAGAGGGGTTCAACTGGGCAGGGAGGACCTGAGGGCCCTGGAGGTGGTTTGGGGAAAGACACCCCAGGAAGGCTTGGGAAAAGCCATGCAGGCGCCTGGGGGGATCACTCACACGCTATCGTTGGCCAGCAAGGTGGATGGCAAGCGCAGGATGTCTGAGGCAGCCATGAAAGGGACAAAGTGCGAGAGGTGGAGGAAGAGTTGCGGGGTTGGCTGAGGGAACTTGCTCAGGAGCTGGGCGGCCAGTGACTCCACTGCCCGCTCGTCCCATGGAGGCACCTGGTGGAGGGAAGCAGAGGGAAAGGGAGTCCCCTTGGAGGGGTTCACAGGGTAGCTGTCCTCCACTTGGGACTCTCCAGGAGCTGAGGTCTGGAGCTGCCAACCAGCACCTACATTAAACAAATACCCCCCTTTCCATATGGAGCCTGGTGGGCATGTCAAGGCTCCACAGGTGCACAGGTGCTGCACCCCTAATCAAGGCCAGCCCTTCTGCCACAGACCTACCTTCATCTGCAGGTGATCCCAGGAGTGGTGCAGCAGGGCCAGAAACCTCTGGATGGTCTCACCTTCTGCTGACCACAGCAGCCTCTGGACAACCTTATGGGGCATCTGCAGGTATTCCTGGAAAAGTAGGAGGGGGGGAGGAGGCAAGGCAGCAACAGCAGCGCCACTCCCTTCCCTGCCCCGCTGGAGCTGCCACAAGGGAGCCTGAAAGATGGTGCAGGGAGGCGCCTTGGACAGGAAGGAGGGAAAGGGGGAGAGGTCAGCCTTGGGGTTGGAGGAGGAAGAGGAGGAGGAGAGGTGCAGCTTTGCTCCAGGGACCAGTATTGGGCCAAGGAAGGAGTCAAGTGGCTTCAGGACCAACAGGACTGGAGACTGGGATGGAGGGAAGGTACCTGCATGAAGAACTCCAGAGCTGAGATGTTCTCCTCCCTCTCCAGCAGATTCCAGAGCAAAGGCTGCAAGGAGGAGAGAGAAGAACTGGATCAGGCCAAAAGGGGTTTCTCTAGGCCAGCATCCTGTTCTCACAGTAGCCACCCAGATGCCCCAAGGGGAAACCCACAAGCGGGACCTGAGCACAAGAGCCCTCTCTCCTCCTGCAGTTTCCAGAAACTGGGATTCAGAAGCATCATTGCCTTAGTCCTCGTGGCCAGTAGCCATCGACAGGCCTCTCCTCCCATGAATTGGTCTAATGCTCTTTTAAAGCCATCTAGGTTGGTAGGTGAGAGTGAGACAGATGGCTATAAGTGTGTAAGATGCACCATGGAAAAAAGTGTTAAACCTTGTTTTCCAATGTATGGAGCAGAGAAGGAGCAGAGTGCTTGATATAGTTTGCAGTGATTGTATGTGGTCCATGAAAAGTTCCCTCAATGGGGAAAAATAAGTACATTTTAGTATTTCTTGATGGTTTTTCAGGGGGTTGGGCTAGGTGACCCTCCAGATTTTTTACAATTCTATGATTCTGTGAAACTGTCCTGGAAGAGGAAGGGACTGAACCCGTGATCTGACTCACATGAGAAATGAATGGTAATAACTAAACAATATATCCTCTCCTCATGTCTAAATCCATTTGTGCAGCCTAGAGGGTAGACCCCCTTCTTGGGCTTCCCCAGTGTGTTCCCCTAGGGTGGGGACACATTCCTATCAGGCATTCCCCATGTGGCTATTGGCAGTAGCCTCCCAACCCTCCTCCTGTCCCCAGAGCATCACCCACCCCAAAGCAGTTAAGCAGGTCTTCCTTGGTGGCTGGATCGAGCTCGCCTTCCTGCAGGAACTGGCTCACATCCTCCAGGATGCTCAGGGAGAAGTTGGCTTGGAGAGAAGTCCCAAAGGAGCTGTTGGCCAGGAGGCTGGAGAGCAGGAGAGCCTGGCCCAGCTGCTGCCTGGCTCCCTCTTGCCCCACTTCGCCAAGGGCAGGAGAAGCCAGCAGGAAGTCCAGCAGCCGCAACAGGTAGCCGGCACTGGGAACCCACTGGGAAGAGGAGTGTGGAGGCTCTTTGCACCGGGCCAACTGGGATACCAGTGCTGTCAGGAAGGCCGGCGCATCCTGGCAGAGCCGCGGGGGCAGTGGCAGCACCCCTGGGAGCCACGGGAGGGAGCAGCTCCTATCCTGCTCAACAGCCAAGCAGTGAACCTGCACCCAGGGGTGGGCCAGCTGCAGGGCTTCCAGTAGGGACTTGTTGCTGCACACAAGCTCCTGGAAGCTCTGCAGGTGGGCATCCCCACACTGAGCTAGGAAGCTGGTGTTATGCAGCGCTTGGGGGCTCCAGGCCCTGGCGCCACACCCTGCTGCTTCCGTGCTCTGGCGCAGAGAGGCATTCAGCCCAGCCCCTTGGGCCAGCGGGCTGTGGCAGAGGGTGCCCAGCCACTGCCTGGTGGCATCAGAGACTTCCTGCAGGCTGCTGCTGCAGAGGTTTTGGGTCCAGAGAGTCTGGTTCTCCAGGGAGAGGCAGGTCCAGAAATCCTCCTGGTGCTCAGAGCCTCTGAGCAACGGTTGGGCCGGAAGGGCATGGAGAGGTTGGCACAGAGCTCCTCCACCAGCTCCTGGTGGGGCCCAAGGTGCAAGAGGACAGAGGCATTGCCACACACTGTGCTGTTGAACTGCTGGGGGAAGTACTCCTTGCAGGCTCGTATCCAGACCGGGTCGCCCTCGATGGGAGAAGTACCAGGTGGTGCTGGAACATAAGGCCTCCAGGTCCGGCGGGGGCCGGTGGGGCTCTTTGGAGCCGTTGAAGAGGGTGCAATACAAGTAGATGGTGAAGTTGGAGATTCCTGGCAAACCGGGGATGCTCTCGTTGCAGGCGGCCTCCAGGACTTCTGCCTGGGAAGGGGGCTCGGCAAATGCTCTCCGGGGTGCTGGAGGGAGGGTCTCGCTCACCCTGTGCCCTCCCCCGGCAGGCAGCAAGCAACTGGGCACCGTGGGAGGCCATGGGAAGGAGGCCCTGGAGGCCAATTCCATACGCAGGGTGTCCCAGCTGATGTTGTGTCTGATTCCCCTGCGAACAGCAGAGAAGAGGGTCCACCACTTACCAGGCACAAGATGACTCAGTGCCATACCAGAGGTCACTCAGCGGGGACCAGCAGGGCAAGCCAGCAGCTACCATAATAATAATAATAATAATAATTTATTATTTATACCCCACCCATCTGGCTGAGTTTCCCCAGCCACTCTGGGCGGCTCCCAATTGAGTCTTAAAACCAATAAAGCGTTAAATCTTTAAAAACTTCCCTAAACATGCTCCCAGGGTCCTGCCACAAATGGCCCTCTGCCCAAGTCACTGCCCTGGCAGCACTACCACCCTTTCTGAATGTAACTCCATGCCATGTCATACTCCATGGCCTTGCTACCCTTTGCCCAAGGAACAACGAAACTCAGCCCAAGAGTAAAAACAAGAACAGCATCACCACCACCCAGTCCAGGGAAATGAGGCTGGTCACCCCCTTCCAGGACATTTAAGAAGGGCCTGTTGCATCAAGAGAAAGATCCAACATCCTGCTCTCACAATGGCCAACCAGATGCCTGTGGGAAACCAGTAAGCAGGATTCGAACACAAAAGCAACACTCTCCCCCTCCTGCGGCTTCCAGCAGCTGGTATTCAGAAGCTGTCCCCACAACCACTTACCACAGCAGCAGCTGCTGCAGGCTTCCTAGGGACAGAGAAGAGGCGTAGTTAGGGTTGTGGCCCCCTAGGAGGCCTTGCCCATCTCTCCCTCCCTTGTGCCCTCCCCACCATGGCTTGCAGCCCCACTCATTCACCCGCCCACCTACCTACAGAGCACTTCCCATCTGGGTCAGGCTGGGGGATCCCCACTGCCTCTGAAGCCTCAGCTGCCAGCAGGCCCGTCACATGCAAGACCCTCCTTCGGAAGCTGGTGACGAGGGTGGGGCCTGCCCTTTGCCACAGTGTCTGCCTCAGCTCCTCCAGCGTCTCCCACAAGATGTTGCCCTCGGAGCCTCCTGCCGATTCCTGCACTTTCCCGCCCGTGCCTGGCTGCTCTGTCCGGTAGAGGGTCTTTGGGAGGCTGGGGGCACTGCGGTTGGCAGGGGGCCGCTCTCGGGGGGTCGCGGGCACCAGGCCAAAGGGCTTCAGCTGGCCATCGGTGGGGGCGAAAGCCTCCTGGGTGAATGTGCAGGATGGCTGTCCAGCCAGTGCCCTCAAAGAGCCTGAGTAATTGCCCTAGCCAACTGGCATTCGCTTGGCACCCACTCTGCCCTCTTGGGGGGCAAAGGGACCCCTGTGGGCCAAGCAACCCAGAGAGGACGGCCTGGCCCAGGGCTTCCATCAGGCTGCTGAGAACCTCCCAGCCCTGCTGCCCATGGTGGTGCTGAGGGGGGTCCTGGGCCCAACTGAGGAGGAGGCTCAGGAAGTCCTGGACAAAGCTCAGCCACCCATCCCAATGCCAGCTGCCTCGCCGCCAGGAAAAGAGGATGTCCTGGAGGAGCCGGCGTCCAGAGGCTGCTGGTGAGAGCGGCTTCTCGGCATTGGGTGGTGGCAGCAGCAGTGGCAGCAGGAGGCTCTCCCAGGACTCCGGGGCTTCCTGCTCCTCCTCACCCTGGAGGTACAGAGAAATGTTGCGGAGGAAGCTGGACAGGTGGGATTCAGGGCTCCGGGCCTGGGGAGAGGGAGGCTGCCTGCCCCACAAGGACTCCAGGCTGAGGAGAAGGGGGTGCATGTGCTGCTGATGTGCCGAGCCTGGGCTGGGCCCGGGAGAAATAGAGCCCCCTTGGCGCTGCTCTCCGGGAGGTGTCAATAGCCCTGCCAAACCCTGTCGCAGGTTTCTGCTTGGCTCCCCCGCTGCCCCTGCTGGGAGAAAGGGGACAGGGGTCACTGGCCACGGCCAAATGCAGGAGGCCACTTGCATGCCCACACACAGACCCTCGACTCCCCTCCCTGCTACGCCCCTGTACCTGGCAGAGGATGCGTCAGCAAGAAGAGCCCCCAGAGGCCCCAGAAGAAAGGGGCCATGTTGGCACCCGTCCCATGCGCACAGCGGCTGGGCCCAGGGAAAAGGCGGCTGCTCCGAGAGGCTTGAAATAGGAGATGACACTGGAGATGCGGAGCTGGTCCTGCAGAGCCGATCCCTTTCTGCTGTCCAGAGCATTAGTTACATCCAGGAAGGAAAGGAGCCCAGCCTGACATGCAGGAGAGGAGGGTCCGGCCACGGGGGCAACAAAACCCCCACAGGCTGGCAAGGAGCTAGGGCTCCCTACCCTTAGCCCCTAGAGGGAAGTCGCCCATGCTGGGGGATGGAGCCCTGCCATCTGACCTGTACCCACAAAGGTGCCCTGATGAGACAAGGAGACTCTGCAATCCCATCGCCTGGCTGGGAATGAGACCCGTCTGCCAACCTGATCAGCTGCTCCATGTGGAATTGGGGAGAGCGGATGCTCCATCTTACCCTTTGCATAAGAGGGCAGAATGCTGTCTCTCTGCTCTGGCATACAAGCTGCCCCAGCCCCTGGATCTGCTTTCTGCTTCCTCAGATACCTCTTTCTTCTTCTTAGGCAGCAACTCTGCCCCCCTTCCATGCTATGACAAACTATGGAGTCCTTCAAGATGAGGAGGCCTAGAGGCCACTGGGGCGCTCTCTTTGATAAACCCAGAAAGTAACAGTGGGAATCGAGATGGTTCAAGGGTGCCAGGCTGTGAGATCAGAGCTATAGGATGCTTCATGCCCACAAGTGTGAGCCCAGGCTTCTGCTGTCTCTAGAGGTCTATGGGAGGTGACCCGAACCTTCTGGTGCAAGAGAAGCCCCACAGGAAGGAGCTCCATGAAACCAATGTGCCTGTTTAGCTTGCCAGGTGCAGCTACCCTGCCCTCTCCCTCCCTCCCTGGTAACCTGAGGCTGGCCCCACCATCCTGACACATCAAGGGGAACAATGGGGGCTTGATCCATTATTGATGCCTTGGGTATGCAAGCAGTATGGGGCCTGTCACTCGAGGAGGAGGAGGAGGAGGAGGAAAGTTGCCTGTGATCTAGAGAAAGAGGAAGAAGCTGGAACTTCTTTTCCTGAGCTCCAAGGCCCTGTGCTGATTCAGAGTCAGCCAAAGGCCAGTCATCCCAGAGACCAGTGCTAGTTCCAGACCCTTGGGAATCCCCTTTAGAAGGCAGCTCAGCTCTGCAGAAAGCCCCTCGTCCCATGTGGGTGTCAACTCCCAGACCCCTTGAGCATGGGCATAACCAAGGGGGGGCAGGGGTAAGATGCCCCCCTAAATCAAGTAAATCAATAAAAATACTTAACTAATGGAGGTTCTGCTCCCCCCCCCATGAAGCCTGCCCCCCCAAACATAAATCCTGGTTATGTCCATGCCCCTAAGAAGGACTCACCCTTTCTATTCTGCCTAGATTTAGGGGAAGCTGCTCCAAATGCCAGGAGTCCAAATCAGCAATGCCCTCAAGCACCTTGGGTAAAGTGTGCCACTTTCTGTAAAAAAAATACCCCATCTCCATTATGTATGTTATAAACATTGTATACTGCTTAGCAGGACAAATCTAAGCAGCTTACATTTGAAAACCATAAAAATGCAAACTACAGCATCCAAAGAGAGTCCTTAAAAACCCAGGAAAAAAATATGCATCCTACAAAACCAATCAGTGTGCAAAGCAAAGAAATTGAAGAGTTGGAATCTGGGAAAACTTGAGTAAACATACATGTTTTTAAGAAGCATTTAAGGGTCATGGCTGTCTCCAATTCTCCACCTCACGAGTTGTGCGCACAGTGGGGGTTATCAGAAGAAAGCCTGTTTCCATGGTGTCAGCAATATGCCCCTCACAGAGCAACCAGCAGGTCTCTTCAGAAGATCTTAAAAACTGACTCAGGTGATACAACTACTCAGGTGATACAACTGACTCAGGTGATACATGCCCTGCCCTCTGAGTAGTGGGCTGGAGAGGGGGGAGTTATTTAACACAGTTGGTGCCCTGTGATTGGGTGCAGAGTTTGTCTATTGTGATGGCCTGGGCATGGAGTGGGGAAGAGGTGGGTCCAGTACTTAGTTGTGTTTGCTTTCTGTTGTGTTCAATCAGTGGTTGGGGGGGGGCAAATTCAGAAGTGCAGGGTCCCTTCATGATCATGACAGTCATGCCCCTTCCAAGATTAGAAAATAATCCTATGATTATGCAGTAATGAGGAATGCATTGCAACAACCAGTGCAGATTTCCATGTGTTGCTTCCCAGATAAATCTACTATTTTCTGTGCACGTACCTGGGCAAATGCCTTGAAGTACTTCAGTACGTTCCTTTGGTGTGTTTTAAGTTGTGCTTCCTGTGAAGTTCCCTTGCGCATAACAGAACTTGCAGCCTGTTCTCTTGAAATGGAAGCCTGGCTTGTCTTTTCAGTGTTCCTCTGCCCTTGACTTTGGAGCACACAATAGCTGAAAAGCTCCCCTTTGGAGCTGAAGGGGCAGCTCTAGGAGGCTGAAGATGGCAGCTACTCTGCTGCAGAAATAGGAAAGGATCTCTGACTCCAACTCTAGACCAATACACCACTCTGCTCAACGGATGCCTTTTAACATAAGCCACCCACTCTGATGTGGGAAACCTGAATGGAGATTTAAGTGGCATAAGATTTTGTATCAGCAGAGTTGCACTGCAGCGTTGTAGTGGCATAGCTTGTTTGGGACAAAGCACCTGAGACCCTCCAGTTTAACTCCCAACAGCTCAAGCTAGCATGTCCAACAATCAGGGGTGATGGGAGCTGGAGTCTAGCAACATCTGCAGGGCCACAAGTTTCCTGTCTCTGTATGAAGTGGTGGAGATGTATCTTAAGTTACACTAACACAGAGGTGCCTTTGCTGTAGCTCACAAACTGTCAGAATTCGAGTACAGTCATACCTCGGGTTACAGGCGCTACAGGTTGCATTTTTTCGGATTACGGACCTGCCGAAACCCGGAAGTACCGGAACGGGTTACTTTCGGGTTTCAGGGGTCACACATGCACAGAAGTGCTAAATTGTGCTTTGCGCATGAGCGTCGAATCGCAACCCGCACGTGCGCAGACGTGCCACTTCAGGTTGCGAACGTGCATCCCGCACAGATCACGTTCGCAACCCGAACGTCCACTGTATAGGATTGTGTCTAAAATCTAAAAACTAATAGATGCAACAGAGTAAATTCCAGTGTACAAAATGATAACATGTTGGAAAAGGAGAAGTTTACACCATCACCACTAAGGCTCCCACAAAGTAGGCCTGGCAGACCTCTCTTCTGGGAAGAAGTGCCAGAGGATGCATTAAGGACTCCCTTCACTAAATGGAGTCCACACCCAAACAGGACAGAGAGCCAAACAGCCCTCATCTACTTCTGAGGGTTCCAAAGTCACGTGGCCACACTGACACCGCCTTGGACTGAAACTTCCAATGGCCCTGCAGCCCACCCAATCAGATTTTCCATGTCTCGTGTTGCAGTTCGTTGCACACTCTGGAGGAGGCTCTTTGGCCCTGCCAGCAGTCAAGGCTGGGCTAAAAGTCAAATTGACTCAGCTCAAGGCAACTCTGACCAACCCCCAAGGAAGCACACGGAAGATTCAAGACAAATAAAAGGAAGCCCTTCTTCACACAGCTGTGGAACTCACTCCAATAGGAGTGGCAGTGATGGATACCAACTCGGATGGCTTTCAAGGAACATTAGATAAACTCACGGTAGTCGATGGCTATTATTGATCGCTACACTCTGCCTCCATGGCTAAAGGCAGAAACTACTGAAAGCTGCAGGAGGGGAGATTTGCTAGAATGCTAGGATCCTGTTTGAGGTTTTCCCATTGGGGGAATCTAGTCAGCCACTGTGAGAACAGAATGCTGAACTAGATGGTCCACGGCCCTGATCCAGCAGGCTCTCCTTATGCTCTTAGATGGCCAGCAAGGGCAGGAGGGGAAGGGGCTGTTCTGGCCCTGCCTGCGGGCTCCCGCCCATGGGGGCCTCTGGTAGCAGAGGCTACAGAACCAGATGACGCCCCCTTGCCTCTGCAGCTACTCCCATAGCTGTCAACTTTTCCCTTTTCTTGCGAGGAATCCTATTCGGAATAAGGGAATTTCCCTTAAAAAAAGGGAAACATTGACAGCTATGAGCTACTCCTTTTGTCCATAGCTCTGGCCAGCGGGTGCCAAGGGGCCAGAGGAGAGACGCGTAAGGGAGGCCACCTCTGCTCCCGGGGTCAAAGTCCGCTCCCCCGTCATAATTTCCCCCTCGGGTGGAGATAAAGCTGCTGAGAAGTGAGCCTGCAGCCACGCTCTCGGCCCTAGCCTGGTGCACGTGGGCGCGAGCCCCGCCCCATAGGCGGCAGTCGGCCAATCGGCGCCCACCCATGGGCGGTACCCATCACGTGGCGCGAAGGTTTAAATACCCCTCGGCGCGGGCGGGGCGGGGCGCGTGGGCCAGGCTGCGCCATGGGCTCGCTGCAGGTTCTGAAGCTGGGCTGCCTGCTGGGGCTGGCACTGCTGCCGCTTCTCTGCGGCCTCCTGCCTGCCGTCCTACTCAGCCTCCGGGGGGCTGGCGGGACCGGTGAGTGAGGGCGAGGACAGAGCTGGGCGGGGGTCGTGGCCGGGCTCCTTCCCCCCCCCCTCAGCGCTCGCTTTTCTTTCTCCCTCCGCAGGCTTCTTTGCGCGCTGGCGGGGCGTGCTGAGCTGCGCAGCCGGTGGCGTCTTCCTGTCCGCTTGCCTGCTGGACATCGTGCCGGACTCGCTGGCCGACCTGCGCGAGGACCTGAGCCAACAGATTCCCCCGGTACCGAGCAGGGAAGAGTAGGGCGGGGGATCAGGACACTGTGACCGGGCCCGGAGGGTTGGAGCCGCATCACGGGCTGCAGCCCCCGAACTAAAAGTGGGGAGGGGGGCTCCAGCGAACATCTTGCTGGCGCTGCTGGTCGCCGGAGTCCCGCTGGCCCTGCCCGCCCAGCTTTTGCGAGACAGCATGTGATGGGGCTAAGCTGACTCACACGCTCCTGTGCTTGATGGTGCAGGGAAGAGGCCGCGAGATGTTGACTGGACAAAGGCCTGAGTTGCTCTCAGATTTGCCCCATGCCCTGTGGGAAAGGTTAGGTGGTCTTCAAATGGGCTGCTTACCTCCCCTCCATATTAAGCACACCAGGGCTGCCCTGTAACCTTCTGAAAGCAGCAGCCAAGCATTCCTTTACCTGAAACCTTTCCTGTTTAATTCCCAAGATAGGCGTTGTTGCAGCTCTGGGGAAGAATTCTCAGGAGCCCAGAGGCTCTGGAGCTCCTTTGGTGGTTTGGCTCTCCTGGCTCCAGGGGAGACGCCCTTGGGTGGGTGTCGGGGCCTCGAGGGAACGGTTTCTCTCCTAACCTGATGGTGCCTCCCTTTTCTTCCCTGCCCCACAGCTGGACTTCCCGATGCCCGAACTGGTCCTGGCGCTGGGCTTCCTGCTGGTCCTGGTCCTAGAGCACATCATCCTGGCCTGCAGCGAGCAGCAGGGGGATGAGGCCTCCCTGCCCCTCTTGCCTTGCCCCTCTCCCCCACACGGCGAAGAGGGCAGCCTGGCTGAGCAGCAGCAGCAGCCGCGCTTGGAGGCGGGGACCCCCCACTGCCACACGGGGGACACCAAAGCACCCTCGTCCTTCCGCTCCCTGGTGCTGACCCTCTCTCTCTCCTTCCACTCAGTGTTTGAGGGCCTGGCGGTGGGCCTGCAAGACACAGAATCAAAGGTCCTCCAGCTGGCTGTGGCCATTCTCCTCCACAAGACCATCATCGCTGCCAGCTTGGCCCTGCTGCTGCTCCAGAGCCGCCTCCCCCTGCGCTGGCTGGCAGCCTCCATCATCACCTTCGCGCTGATGTCCCCTCTGGGTGTGGGGCTGGGCATGGCTGTGATGCAGAGTCCTGATGCAAGCGGCAGTCCCACCATGACCCGGAGTGTGCTGGAAGGCGTGGCTGCCGGGACCTTCATGTACATCACCTTCCTGGAAATCTTGCCTCAGGAGCTGAACGATCCTGCCAGGCGCCTGCTCAAAGTCCTTGCTGTGCTGCTGGGTTTCTCAGGGATGGCTGGCCTGCGCTTCTTGGGCTGAGGGCCAGCAGCTGAGTGGGATGCCCTTCCCTGCAGAGATGGACACTGGCAGGCTCGGCTTCCCAGGAGGCAGCTTTTTAGAATGAAGGGGTGGTGGCTTCTCTCCTCCCTTTTTCCCCTCTTCCCAAGCGGACACTGATAGGCTGTGCCTTCAAATGTTTTTATTAAAGATCTGACCACTTTATAACTCTTTGGAACTAAGGCCTTTCTGGTTCTTATTTGCTCTTCCACCTCACCCAAATTCCTGTGACAGTAAGACTCACGGCATAGTTCTGTTCTTTGCTCAGGTGATAAGAAATTGCTTTGGTCTTTCCCCTCAGTCCCCCGCAGCAATTGGGAAGACAGCTAGGAAAGGGGAATTGGAGCAGGGTGTGTGCAGAGACCCAAAACCAGATAGGACTGCAGCACCCCCTGCTGGGAAGATATATAGGCAGCTGCCAAATATAGCTTGGTACATTTACTTTTGCTGGCTGCAACTTTTAGGAGGGTCTCTGCCAGAGAAACTGGTTGTTTTCATTGCCCACTACCGGATCATTTTAGCTGAAGGTGCTGCTGTGGTTTGCTGTGACCTTCTGCATGCAAAGCAGCTGTTCCACCACTGGGCTGTGGCCTTTCTCCAAAGGCTTTGCTTCTGACATGTTTTCAACTAACATGGGGGAATTTGCAACCAGTTACTAGCCGGAGAGGATGCTATACTTGTTTCTGAAACCAAAATGGCAAAGGGTGCAGATACCTGAAAGGAAACATTTCTAGCTGGGCAGCATGTGCAAGCAGCACCTCATGAAACTAGGGGAGATCAGAGAGTTTTGCTCAGCTCTGACTCTTTCCTTGAAGTGGAAAGGGAGCCATTTGTGCCTTGATAGACTTTTGGCAGAGTTGGGCTCCTGTCAGCATCAGATGATTGAACCACTGGCAGAAGAAGAGTGCGGGGGGAGCACACCGCCCCCAGAAGCGCAATCCCGGCAGGGTGCCATCGTGGCTCCCCTCCTCCCCCCCCCCCCCGTGTGCGCTGGGTGCCACACTCCTGGGACATGCGCCACGTCCCTGCGGGTGGCACGTCAGCTCCGCCCCACCTGCTCTCTGCCCCCCCCCATGCCGGAGCATGAAGCTCCGCCACTGGATTGAACTCTAGGCGCATCAAAACTGTACACTTGCTAAAGGTGTTGCCAAACCTACATGTGTACCTGACTGCACTTTATGTGGCATACATATTATAAGAGTGATATCTGGGGTTTCAAACATGGAACTCCCTTGCCGTGTAGTGGGGGTATATTGTACTGTAACTTGCTTTATTACCAGACTTTTTAAAAAATCACAAATTCCACTACCAATTTGGACTTTAAAACAGCAAGACGTTAATGGTGAAATGTGGGTTAGATAATATTACTGTTAGGGTGGATTTGTAGCTGGTTGACTAACCAAAAGAATGCTCACCAACAGTTCCTCATCATCCTGGAAAAGTGACAAATGGGGTGCCACAGGATTTTTTCCAGGGCCCAGTGTTGTTTGATATTATAAATGACTTGAATTAAGGAATAGAGGGGGTGCTCATCAAATTTGACATCAAACTGGAGGCTAATACCTCATACAATCATAGAGTTGGAAGGGAATCCAAGGGTTATCTAGTTCAGCCCCCTGCAACACAGGAATGTCAACTAAAGCATCCATGACAGATGGCCATCCAACCTCTGCTTAAGAACCTCTAAAGGAGGAGAGTACACAACCTCCTGAGGGACACCATTCCACTGTTGAACAGTGCTTACTGTCAGAAAGTTCTTCCTGATGTTTAGTCAGAATTTCCTTTCTTGTAACTTGAAGCCATTTGTTCATGGATATAGGGCGGTATATAAATTTGATAAATAAAATAATAAAACATCTCCTCTCCAGGCAGGAGAAAACAAGCTTGCTCCATCTTCCATGTGACAGCCCATAGGATATTTGAAAATGGCTATTGTATCTCCTATCAGTCTCTTTTCCAGGCTAAAGCTACCCATCTCCTTCAAATGTTCCTCATAAGGCTTGGCTTTCCAGACCCTTGATCATCTTGGTTGCCATCCTCTGCACAATAGAGAAAATCTCAATAGGGACAAATGTACAGTTCTACACCTAGCAAGGAATATTCAGTTGCACACTATATAGAATGAGGGACATCTGGCTTGAAAAGGAGCGAGGAGTCTTGGTAGATCAAAACCTTAGCATGCATGAGTTAAGTGTGATCCAGCTAGTGCAATACTAGGCTGCATCAGCAGAAATCTAGTGTCTAGATCAAGAGAAGTAATAGTGCTGTTCTATTCTGACTTGATCAGACCCCACCTGGAGTCCCGTGTTCAGTTCTGGCCACTACAGTTTAAGGAGCATATTGAGAAGCTGGAACATGTGCAGAGGAGGGCAACCAAAATGATCAAGGGGCTGGAACCCAAACCTTATGAGGAACAGTTGAGAGAGCTGGGTATGTTTAGCCTGGAGAACAAGAAACTTGAGAGGTGATATGATAGCCATCTTCTAATATCTGAACATGGGTGTTCAGGGGACACAGGTGGTGCTGTGGTCTAAACCACTGAGCCTAGGGCTTGCTGATTGGAAGGTTGCTGGTCCGAATCCCCGCAACCGGGGTGAGTTCCCATTGTTCGGTCCCAGCTCCTACCCACCTAGCAGTTTGAAAGCACGTCAAGTGCAAGTAGATAAATAGGTACCGCTTCAGTGGGAAGGTAAACAGCGTTTCCGTACGCTGCTCTGGTTCGCCAGAAGCGGCTTAGTCATGCTAGCCACATGACCTAGAAGCTGTCTGTGGAAAAACGTCAACTCTCTCGGCCAGTAAAGTGAGATGAGCACCACAACCCCAGAGTCGTCCGCGACTGGACCTAACGGTCAGGGGTCCCTTTACCTTTAATATCTGAAAGGTTGTTACATGGAAGATGGAGCAAGTTTGTTTTCTGCTGCTCTGGAGGGTGGGACCCAAAGCAAGTGACAATAAAAGAGATTCTGATGAAATATTAGCAATAACTTTCTGAAGGTCAGAGCTGCCAGAACATCTTGGGAGCAATAGGTTCCCCATTTACAGAATCAAAATGTGTTTGTATAGCAAATACAAAAAAGGCAGGGATGGTGAAGGACCACTGGTCTGTAGACCATGGTTGGCCCCCCAAGCCAAGGTGGCATCAGGTAGCATTGGTCATACATACAGGGTCCAGGCCAGGCCAGGTGCTTTCCCACTGCAACCAAGATGGCAGCAGCTGGTGACATCACAGCTTCTTCCTCACATGATCTGATATGTTTATCAGGGATGGGACAACTGGTATCCCCCATCACAACACTGGGTTGGGGAGAAAGGTTTAAACCACTCTGCTGTGCTGAGCATGAAAACCACTCCGTCCCTGCTTGATTCTGCTAGATGTGTGAGGGGTGATGTGTGCAAGCATGTGATGGCCAGGCTCATTGCTAGTCTCTGGTGGTGATGCAATGGGTTGACGTGGTCCTGTTCAAGTGCCCCTCAAGTTAAGACTTGCATTTGTGCTAGCAATTGGCTAATGGACAGGTGCATAATGACGTGTTAGCATAAAGCTGGAGTTCTTGTTCCTCTCAATTCCGTGTCTACACGTAATCCCTTTTCAGTGAGGGCAGCCACTCTAAGCCAAAAGTTTGCCTCCTCTTCAACCAATATGTACACGTTGCATTGCTGAGCATAGCTAAAGGAATTGCGTAACAACAGGGCATGTGCAGTCAAATGAAATGAGCACCTTCATAACAAAGGTGCTGCATCTCTAAGCCAAGATCTCTACATGTCAGGCAAGTAAATGCATAGAAATACAGGCTTATTGTTATTATTAAATTTGTATACCACCCTTCATCTGAAGAGCTGTGAGAGGGGAGAAGAGATTAAAAAGCTGAGCTGCTCCTTAGAATGATAGAATTGCTAGGGACCTCAGGGTCATCTAATCTAAATCCCAGCAATGCTGGAATCTCAACTTCTTTGGCAATCACTCGCCAAATCGCAACTAGACCACACAGGACAGCCTTGCTTATTCTTCATGAGTGAACTTGAACAGTGAATGTAGTGAATAGGCTAGGGTTAGTTCAGTTTAGAGCCACAGTACCAAGGTTCATCTTATATTGTTTTTACTTTCTGTCTGCTTTCCTTTTATTCCTAACAATGTCTCCTGCTGAAGTGGGTCTGTTTGCCATAGAATTCCCACGTGCCTAGCTGCATGGCATTCAGGTTACTGGGTTTAGGATCAGTAGCCCATAAGGAAACAGAGGTGCAGTTGGTCTCAGAGTTCCTGGTTGAAGGGGGGTCTGTCAGGGAAATGAGCTAGCTGCTTTGATCTTGGACAAAGAAAAGGCAGCTGGAAGCTAGCTAGCTCTGCTTTCCCCAGCAATTTGTGTGCGTAGATTTGACCGAGAAGTGCTAGGCCACTGGCTCAAAACATTTTTAAAAAGTAGTTGCTTTAATGCATCCCAGTTTCCTTCCCATTTGGGGATGCAGGAGTAAGTGGGGAGGGTGGCGGTGGCGGCGGCAGGCACCGGAGAGAAAGGCCCCTGGCAGCACTGCAGGGCTGTTGTGCTGCAGTTCGGCAACGAGGGTGATAAAAGAGTTTGGCTTCAGCCGCTCGGGCTGAGGGACCAGCTCTTCACAACAGGGGGCACTTTTCGAAAAAGGCGCGGACATCTCTCTGGCCCTCAGGGGCTGCTCTTGAGGGGGAGCCGAGGGAGCCGCAATGGCGGGAGGCGGGGCCAACATGCGAAGCCCGCTCTGGGAGCGCGAGGCCAGGGCGGCCCCTCGCGGCATCGCTATGACGACGAGCGCATAGCCACCCAGCCTCCTCCTGCCACCATCTCTCCTCCTCATTGGCCGCCCTCCCGCCGGCGTGGGCCAGTGAGCAGCTGCCACACTGCAAATCCGGCCCCGTCTCCTGGAGGGGCGGGACTTCCGCCTCCTCTTTAGCTTCCCGCTGAGGCGAGAACGAGAGAAAGCGAAAGTCGCCTCAGCCTCAGCCGCCGCTTTCTCCGGCTCGCTCTCCGTATTCCTCGCCTTTCTCCCTCTCTCTTCGCTCGCTCGCCGGCGGCTGGGCCTCATGGAGGCGCTTCTCCTCGCCCTGCTCCTCGCCCTTGTGCCGCTGCCGGGACGCGCCTCTGACGTGCTCGAGCTCAGCGATGAGGACTTCGACAGCGGCCTGGCCGACCGCAGCGTCGCCCTCGTCGAGTTCTACGCCCCATGGTGGGTCGGAGGGAGAGGAGGCGGGCGGGCGGGCGGGCGGGGCGGGCAACGGGGCCAGGGCGCTCATGGGGGGCGGGGCGGGGAGGCCCCTGCTGCTTCGGCTCTGCGCGCGCAGGAAGAGGAGCGGCACGTTTCTCGTGCGCGCGCCTCCCAGAGGTCCAGAGACAGACGGGGAGAGGGAGGTTGGCAGGCCGGTGGATCCCCTCGCTGCTGCCGCTGCCTTAACTGGCGCGGAGCCGAGAATGGGAAGAGCGAGGGAGGAAAGGAAGGAGGGAGTCCGCCTGCCGATCTGCCTCTCGCCGCTGCCTCTTGTCTGTCAGGCCTGTGGGGGTGAATTCTGCGCATTCCGGACGCGATATCCGCGGAAGCCTCTCCGCGATTCGCTCGGCTGCCGTGAAGGGCAGCTGGTTTGGGTTGGTGGCGGTCTCTTTGTCGGGCGGGGGAAGCCGCGGTGGCTCCGGCGCTGGTGCCGCAGCCGGTTTTGAAACTGCAGCCCCCAGGCTACACCGGGGCAAGTGCCTGCGGAGGGCGGGATCTTGTTGCCGTGGCTGCTCCCGGTTGGCTGCTCCGCGGGGCTGTCACCATCAGGGATTGGCTGTGGCTCCCCTGGGAAGTGCCCGCTACCTTTGCGGAGAAGTTGGGGCAGCCATCAGGGCGTCTTATCGGCAGAAACGGAAGGGTTGGGCGCCTGCTAGCTTCCGGTGGATAGTTGGTTCTTGGATGGACCACCGTGGGTGCTGCCCTTGTGAGAACGGCGAAGCCTCCTCGCTCTGTCCGCTTCATGGGGTTGATGGGGCCACTATTGGCTTGTGCTTGTTGTGGGAGCGGGGTGCCCTTGCCAAGCAAGATGGATGATTCATGGTGCCCAGCCCACTGGCTTCAAGTGTCTCAGTGGTCCTTGATCCAAATGAATCTCAGGATAGTGTATACTTGTATTAAAAACAAAACATAGCCCTTCACAGAACAATAAAAGACAGTTTAGCATAAAATCCCGTGGTATGAAACTTGGTACACAAGGCCAATACTTTGCTGAAGACAATCAGGTTTGATCATTGCCAAAACAGGAATTTGGGAACCATATTTATTCCTCCATGGGTTCTGTGATGTGAGAAAGGTGGAAGAAATTCAAGAAAGTAAATGAAATGCCTACATTTTGTAGGTTTAATACAGTACAAGTATTCATATTTTAGTAAATATCAAATTGTGTATTCATTAATATAGAAAATCCTCCTTTTGAATGTGCATCTGGTAGGGGTAATGATTCACTGTAGAGAAAACCACTCAAAATTACAAGCCAGCTAAATTCTAGCCTACTGAAGGCTGACCAGAGATAGGAAGCTGCAGGTCTAAGCCTATGCTGGGTGTATGGAAGAGGAGACTTCCGTTGTCTAGCAACCCACTTGATTTCTGTGTTGAGCACAGAGGAGAGACTTTCATCTTGCTCCATCCCTCCATCACACTTGCATAGAACTCACAACTGCCATGAGGGAAGGATCTCAGGAAATCAAGAGAGGCAGACAAAAAGGTCAAAAGCCAGCTTCTGTCTAACTTGGCTTGTCCCTGCTATAAGGCCATCAACTACCAACTATCTTCTGGGAAGGATCCTCATAACTCTCTGTGTTCTACCATATTGCTCATTCTTCTCCGTTGCCCCCATGGATAGTGATGTCAATTGTTGTATGCCTCAAAAGCATTCATCGTCTGGAAGGCAGGATATTAATAATCATAATAAATAAATAAATTCTGGTTATCTGTGCCAGACTAGTACTTGAATACAAGGATGGGCTAATGTGCTTATATCTAGATTATGTCACATTAACCTATTTATTCAAGAATATTGACTTCTTTAAAACAAATTTAAATTTTAAAACCCTGCACAGTTTTAGTCATTGAATTTTATCTGACCTGTTGAGATGCAAGTGTGATCTTGAGCCAACAACAGTCCTTGCTGATGAAAGAAAGTGGTATGCCAACCATGCATTGAATTTTAACCTTGTAGGTGTGGACACTGTAAACGCCTTGCTCCTGAGTATGAATCTGCTGCCACCAGGCTAAAGGGAATAGTGCCACTTGTGAAGGTTAGTTTTGTAATGTGCTACTGCATGAAACTCTGCAAGAAAGGGACCTTTCCATAAGTTAAATTGCTTGACTACTGATAGTGGAGTTGGGAGTCAGTTCCTTTGATGCCTGTGTGAATGTGGTGGGGAGTAACGTGGGATAAAAAGCTTTGAATCTATGTCTACTGTTCTTTTGATCAAAGTCCCTGGAGGTATAGGAAGAGCCTCTGTTGGTGTTAGATGGGAATGTTTGGATGAGGATGTTTGCATGCATCTATGCTGTTGGCAATGTACAGACTGGATGGTTGGTTTTTTTAGAGATGTCACCATCCTTTACTGTGGAAAAGGCAAACCCTGCTCACATTCTCTTTAAGGTTGACTGTACAGCAAACTCAAACACCTGCAACAAGTATGGAGTGAGTGGCTATCCAACTCTCAAGATCTTCAGGAACGGGGAGGAGTCTGGTACCTATGATGGTCCAAGAACAGCTGGTAAGGAACTGTAGGCCAGGCTGTGAGTGCTGGAGGAGCTGGTTAATAGTCTGCAGCAGCCCTGGCACAGAGTGGAGGGTTATTGCATGCATATTCTGCTTGTAGACTTCCCAACATCATCTGGTTGGCCTCTGCAAGAACAAGATTCTGGACAATATGGGCCATTGTTCTGATCTAACTGTAGGGCTCTTCTGATTGAAGCCTTCATTTAAAGGGTATTTGTGTAATGCCTTGTATAGTGCAGTTTTGAAGACATTGGATGTCCGCAAAGCAGTCCCTACATGCAGCCTGCCACTAACTATGCCAAACTTCTCTCCCAAGATGGAATTGTGAGCCACCTGAAGAAACAGGCTGGGCCAGCCTCAGTTGCTCTCCGCTCTGATACTTTTGAAAAATTCATCAGTGAAAAGGATCCTGCTGTGGTGGGTAAGTAGTGAGGGGTTTTTGGGTGGGGGAGGTGATCAGATTTCCCCCCCTGAGCCTTCACATGCTAAGATGTGGAGGGGGGATCTCCAGTCTTTCTGGAATTAGGCATCATAGACTGCAGTTGTTAGCACAGTATCTCACAGAGCTTTGAACTGGCAGTGCAGAGTTACCTCTTCTGTTCCAGTCCTCTTAACCTGATCTCAGTAGTAAAAATGTTCAGATAAAAACGTTCTGCAGTGTTGATTTGAGCCACTCCCAGCTTCAAATATTAGAAGCCGGGGACTGGGTTCCTTGGATACAATTTGTAGGTTCTTGCATATGGCTCACTGGTTTGGGCAGTCAAGTTGTTTTTGTGTACAGGTGGAATAGCTAAACTGCTTCTGCTACTCTCTTTCATATGGAGTCCTTTGCCTTTTATGATGTTCTGCAGGTTTCTTCAAGGAGTTGTTTGGTGATGCACATTCAGAGTACATGAAAGCAGCGAGCAACTTGAGAGACCATTACCGCTTTGGGCACACAAGTGATGAGGATCTAGTTAAGAAATATGAGCCAGATGGCGAGTAAGTAGCACATGGGCCTCTATTCTCCTGATTGGTCTACCAAAATAGAAGAATATAAGACACAAATTTCAGAAATGCATCTGGGCATAACAGCTCTGCCTGGCTTCCTGTTGCTCCCCACAATGAATTTCCCCCACTTGTATAGCAAGCTGTTTCTGACGGATAGACCACTGGTTCTCTTTGGACTGAGCTTGATCAACACTCACATGGCTTGTCAGTATAGGCAAGCCGTGTTCCTAGCAACTGTCTTTGTAAAATAGTGATTGTACCTTCCGCGGTCCTATGCAATATCCCCACCCCCCTGCCAACACTCAAGTCCCTGCTGGGCTGCTTCCTGCTTGTTTTTCCTGCCACCTGAAGGGAGCAGGCAAGTCAGAGCTTGAGGTGCTTGCTGACTGTCATTCAGCTTTTCCTTGGGGAGTTGGTTAAGCAGCTGAGACACCTGCCAGCAAATGTGGCTGGAAGCCCATGTTGAAAGAACAAGGGAGTCCTGTTTGTAAGCCAAGCCCTAGCAAGAGCACAGCCTGTTTGAGGGTGATGTGTGCTTGGTTCACTGTCAAGTTGCACTGATCAACTTTCCACAGAGGCATTATCCTGTTCCGTCCCCCACACCTGGAAAACAAGTTTGAGGACAACACTGTGCGATACACAGAGGACAAGATCACAACTGGCAAGATCAAGAAGTTCCTTCAGGAGAACATGTAAGTGTATAGCAGCTTCTCTCCTGCCAGTCTAGAGTGAGTGTCTGTGTCTGTGTCCGCAGTGTGAGATCCACATGCTAACGTGATTTGGGGGTTCCTTCTGTTCTTTAGCTTTGGCATCTGCCCACACATGACGGAAGACAACAAAGAGCTGATCCAAGGCAAGGACCTGCTGGTGGCTTATTATGACGTAGATTATGAAAAGAATCCCAAGGGGTCCAACTACTGGCGCAACAGGTGAGAACACAGCAAGGACTTCCCTGGGGAAGTGAAATGAGTGAGGTTGGAGAGACCTGCAAGCCACTGATATGTTCTGCCCCCACTGTCACAGGCAATAGGTGCCTGACCTGCCAGTTGCTGGGAATCATAGGTGGGGAGATCACTGCTGATGCTGCAATTGGGTCCTGCTTGCTGGCTTCCCGGCTTCCCGCTGGGGCAGTGGTTTTAAACCAGTGTGCCATGGCACCCTGGGGTGCCTTGAATGATGGTCAGGGGTGCCTCCTTCCCTCCTCTGATGCCCTCTCTTGTCTCTGCCTCCCAAAGGCTTGTGTGACTGTTTGTTGCAGCATCTTTGGCTACAAGCTCTGCTAGTTGCCAGAAGCTGAGGTGGCCTCGTAGTAAGCAAGCAAGCAGGTGAGGGATCCTAGCCAGTTTGCCAGCCCTTGCTGTTGGGAATGAACAGACAAGTCCTAGGCCGCTGTGGGTCAAGGGAGGCAGCTCAGAGACCTGCCCAGAGAACTCAAAGAAGAGGAGAAGAGGCTGAGAAAACACTCTGTGAAGGAGGATATTTGAAAAGAGTGAGAGGCTGCCAGCTCTGCAGGCAAGGGGTGACATAACTGGGCTCCTGAGTCCCACAGGGGTGTGACAGAAAGAATATAGTTGGTCAAGGGAGCAGTGGACTCAAAAAGGTTGAAAACATCTGCACTGGAGCAGCTGGTTGACCACTGGGAGCAGGTCACTTTGTCTTGATCCAGTGGACTCATATGTCTGTGCCAGAGGCCATGCCTCTTGTGACTGCTCTATAGCCCAAACAGAAGGGCCGCAGCAGTTCCAGCATGCAAACATCCCCCTCCCTAGGAAGAGTGGGGGCAAGAAGCCAGCAGTAGTATAAGCTGTGGAGGTTCCCCATCAGCAGTGAATAACTTATGGAAGGAGACTGGGCAGTGACACTTCTGCCCTTGGCCAATCATTGATCACCTTGGTGGCTCTTTGAGGCTGCTCCAAGCACACTTGATCCTTTAGCTATAGAATTTAGGACTGCTTTGACTTGAACACATCACCACCTCTGCCTGATCCAGGGTACTTCCAAAATTGGCTCTTAATTAATTAAAATGATTTGCTTGCCTTCATGCATGCCTTGAAGAGGACAGGTGCGCTGTGACTCCTGATTATCTTGGGCTATCACAAAAAAGTTTTGTTATTGCTTTTGCAGAGTGATGAAGGTAGCCCGGAGTTTCCTGGATGCTGGACACAAACTCAACTTTGCTGTTGCTAGTCGGAAGACCTTCGGTCATGAGCTCTCAGAGTTTGGATTGGATGGCTCTACCACCGATGTTCCTCTTGTTGCCATCAGGACAGCTAAGGGAGAGAAATTTGTCATGCAGGAGGAATTCTCGTAAGTGGAGCATTTGTTTATACTGCAAGTGTGCACACTGCTTCTGGTGTGGTCTGGAGTGGGGACATCCCACTGCCTTTTCCTGAACAATTCTGAGCACAAAGCATCATAGGCCAATCCAGGACAGAAAGTCTGGGATTTCTTCTAGTGACTTTAGAAGGGGGGTTACAAGTTGGGGGAGGACTGGTTGAAACAATTCTCTTGTTTGGTTTGCAGCCGTGATGGGAAGGCCCTGGAGAGATTCCTCCAGGATTATTTTGATGGAAACCTGAAGAAATACCTGAAATCTGAGCCCATCCCAGAGAACAATGATGGGCCTGTGAAGGTGGGAGCTGCTGCTTGTTCTGTCTCCTCAAGGGTGGTGGGAGCCTTGGGCCCCTTCAGATGATATTGGACTTCCATCAGCCCTACCCAGCGGTGCCCAAAGATAAGGGATTATGGGAGCAATAGGTCAACAGCATCTGGAGGGTCCCCTACTCCTAGCTTAAAAGAAACTAGATCTCGTAAGAATAACTCGCTCTACGTGGGGCTGCTCTTGAGACTGACCCAGAAACTCAAGCGGGTGCAGAATGCTACGGCGAGACTCCTTATGGTCTCCTCGCTGCGGGATCACATTCACCCAGTGCTATACCAGCTGCACTGGCTCCCAGTGGAGTACAGGATCAGGTTTAAGGTGCTTGTTTTAACCTTTAAAGCCCTATATGGCCTAGGACCCTAATACCTACGGGACCGCTTTTCCTGGTATGTCCCACGGAGGACCTTACGGTCTTCAGACAAAAACACCTTGGAGGTCCTGGGCCAGAGAGGTTAGGCTGGCCTCAACCAGAGCCAGGGCTTGAAGTACAGGGAAATCTTAAAGTAGCTATGTTTTCTCTGAATTAAGTTTCAGTTTATATGTCCTTGATGCATACCAAGACTGTTTCTGGACACCTGGAATTCAGGAATTCAATTCATAGATGGGAAACAGGCAGATTTGGATGTGATCTGTATATTGATTGAACTGCTGGGAAAATGAGAAGCTTCCTGCATATTATTCAGCTTGCAATAACACTAAAATTAGGCACAGTGTGTCTTGGGAACCTCCCCTTTTGAGCCTGCATGTTTTCTCCCCAGGTGGTTGTGGCTGAGAACTTTGATGAAATCGTGAATGCTGAGGGCAAGGATGTGCTTGTGGAGTTCTATGCACCTTGGTGTGGCCACTGCAAGAACCTGGAACCCAAATACAAGGAGCTTGGAGAGAAGGTATGCCCAAGGGGCGGGAGGAGAATCCGAGTGCCTGAGTGTCTCTCTCCCTTAATAGAGGTCCCTGTTCATAGGTGACCAGAGAGAAGAGCTCTTATCTTCAGGGGCCGTGATACTGTGTATCAAGCAAGGTTCTCTTGGGTGTGGAACAGCCCCTAGGGGGCTGGCACTGTTCTGCTATCATGAATTGACTGCTTCTGCCAGTGTGAAACTGCTGACTGGATTATCTTTCAACAGCTCAGCAAAGATCCCAACATTATTATAGCCAAGATGGATGCTACAGCCAATGATGTGCCTTCTCCCTACGAAGTGCGAGGGTAAGAGAATTATGCTTGGTAGCCACTGGCTGGTTCTTGCCTGCCCTCTGCTGTCAATGATAGAGTAGCTGTCCTGCAGGCACAGTCTTGGGCCTTTTAGGAGGAGTCCTTTGTGCCCCACCCACACCTACATTGTGTGCTTGCACTATGCCCCCTTGAAGAATGGCTGCTGTCTGGAGGCTTATGCATGTAAACACCAGGCATATTTCCTCCAGGGCAGTCATTCAGGATAGCACTGAATGCCCTGCTGAGTGGTCTTTCTTTCTTTGTTGACAGCTTCCCCACAATTTATTTTTCGCCTGCGGGGAGCAAGCAAAGTCCAAAGAAATATGAGGTGAGTTCATGCTTATACCGGGTTCCCTAGAATAATAATAACCAGCTGCAATGAAGTCTTTTTTTTCTTTTGCCCATTAATCCTAAAATATGGCAAGTAGCATAAACGATAAAGTGGAATGTGTTGAGGTTGCTGTGTGTGTTAGTGATTGGAACTTAATGCCTTGAGCACTGACTTGTGTCTTTTTGACAGGGGGGGCGTGAGGTGAATGACTTTGTCAGCTACCTGAAGCGGGAGGCCACTTACCCACCCATTCTACAGGAGGATGAAAAACCCAAGAAGAAGAAGAAGGCGCCCAAGGAGGATCTGTGAGCGGGGAGGGGGGCTTGGAGTCATCATCGCCCTTGTCTGCAGAAGAGCCCATGGCCACTCCTGGAGGTGGGGCCCTGTGGGGCAGTCTAAGCTGTTGGAAAGTGAAGCCACATTGAGCAGAGGGGACCCAGCTGCTGCTGCTGTTCTGTTTAATTTCCTGCCCCCTCATCTCTTAACTGCACTGGCCTTGAATGCCCTGGACTGGCTGATATTTGTGGGTGGGGAGGGGGAGGGTTTGTTTTCTAATTTTTTGTACATTTGAAGAAGTGAATCAATAAATGACCCCCTTAGGCCCCAAATTGCCTTTCTGTGATGATGGGAGGGGAAAGACTTCTCCCTGTCTCTTTGAGCGGGATACATTTACCTGTTTCTGGTACTTTGCTAACTTGGGAGGCTGCTCTGCCAGAGAACTTTTGTTCCCCATAGAAGTTACTGAACAACTCAGCTGTCCTTGAGAAGTTTGCATGTTGATTTTAGCTTGGGATAGCCTAGCTCTGCAGATGGGCCTAAGCAGCATTGTCAAATGAACATGTAGCAGATTGATAACATAACTGATTGATACGAAGTGAAGGAGATGTCATGTCTGTTTAAACGATCTTCACAAAATGCAATTTTTTGTATAACTTCTCATGTGGAGAGTCTCTGAGAGATGTGGTAGGTGCCAAGCTTTAAGCCTGTGTGACAAAGACCTGTCTCTGCAGCCACTAGAAACTTTGAAAACAAAGCAGCATAAGCCAGACAAGATTAAAGTACCGTATTTTTCGCTCTATAGGACGCACTTTTCCCCCTTCAAAAATGAAGGGGAAATGTGTGTGCGTCCTATGGAGCGAAGAAGCCATAGCCCCGCGACCCTCTCCCAACTGGAGAGGTGACGCACGGCTATGGCAGGAGCCTCTATAGCCGCGCGTCACCTCTCCAACCGGGAGAGCGCATGCGGGGCTAAAGAAGCCGTAGCCCCGCGACCCTCTCCCAGCTGGAGAGGTGACGCGCGGCTATGGCAGCAGCCTCTCCGCTGCGCGCCTTTCCGCTTCTCCCCAACCTGCTCTTTGGGGCTGGTGGTGGGCTTCCCCCCCGCCAGCCCCAAGGAGCAGGTCGAAAGGAACCTGAAGCCTGGAGAGGAGAGGGGTCGGTGCGCACCGACCCCTCTCCAGGCTTCCAAGGTAGCCGCCTGAAGGCGACTGAACGCACCTTAAACGGCAACTTGTTTTAGAGGGGGAAAACAAAAGGGGAAAATTCTCCCCCTCTCTGCGCAACGCCTCCTGCCGCTTCGCTGAAGGGGCGCTGGGCAGAGAGGGGGTGAATTTTTTTTTCTTGTTTTCCCCCCTCTTAAACAAGGTGCGTCCTATTGTCCGGTGCGTCCTATGGTGCGAAAAATACGGTATTCCTTGAAGAAAAGGTTTCTAGCAAAGTTCCTACTGCCTTGGGTGTGAGTGTCTGAACAAATGTCAACTGGAGTTGGACAGGCTAAGTGTTAGCATATTGAGATTCGTCTTAACTAAAAATGCAAGACTACCCACACTCCAGTTTTTCCAATCTAAGGCACAAGAATATACTTGCTGACTATGAAACAATTCTAAAGCACAGCTTTGTTTCAAGCCAAAGATGGCTGCTCTGGTTGTGGATAGCTTGAAGTAAATTTAGGCTGCCACAAACAAGTTGCTACAGAAGGATGGGGAAAAGGGAGCACCCCCGCCCTGCTTTAAGTGTTTCTTTTCAAATTGCTTTCAGCTAGCAAGATGTTGCAGAGCAGACTTGGACCAAAACGTAAGAGGAATGTACTGTAAGCCGGGCCTGTTCTTAAGCTGTACAAAGCTCACTCCAAGAGCAAGCAGTTGTAATGAAACACTAGAGCCCCCCTGTGCTTGCTGTGAGGAGTTGCAGGTGATGCTGCCCTCATCATCTCCTCTCGCCACAGCCCCTCTGCCCAGCCGGAGGGACATTCTGCTCAAAGTTTAAGATTTGAGCCTTGATATGGGAGAGCTTGTGGTGCAGATACTCACAGTGCCTCTTTTCTTCTTGGTAGTTAGGATACACCTGCAGAGAAGGAAGCAGTTCAGCCACCAGGGGGAAAGAAAGCACCCCCCTCCCTGATGCCAGCCTGGGTTCCTCACCTTTTTGAAGTGCCTGTATTCTTGCAAAATCTGATCTTCTAGGACCTGTAACCCAAGAGAGCTAGTTCAGCCCAGGAGCAGGCAGGGAAGGTCCCTTCCCTTTTGTTTCCTGAAATGTTGTTACCTTGTACTCCTTGGTTCCTTGCTGCATTCGCCTAAGCCTTGTGCCCAGCTGGGCAAACCTCCTGCTCACACTCCCAATCCTGGCATGGAGGTGGCGGTATGTGGTGTAGTCTGCACTGAAGTCCTCCTGGTAGGCTCGGTACTGCTTTACTGAGCAAATGGGGACATATTTCCTAGTTTCAAAAGACACATTATGCGAGTCAGAAGATGGAAAGGGAGAGCCTCCTCCCTTGGGGAATTTGACCCAAGGTATCAAACACTGTATTGGTTGGGAAGGCCAACAGCAGCAGCCACCTCTCCAATCCATCTCCCACATCAGGAGTAGAACCTTTTTTGGTCCCAAGGACTGTGTTCCAGCATGGACAGTCTTCCAGAAGCTCCATTTGGTCCCTGGGCATGAGATCCCCACACCAAATGTACAACAAGGCTGGGCACCAGTGAAAATGATGCTGGTTCCCAAATGGCTGAGGCCTATGAAAAATGCCCTTGCCTTGTGTGCAGTGCAGCTAAATACTTACAAGTAGTATTTGAGGTTTTCCTCTGAGGTGCTGGCATGGTCTGGGGAGGGGAAAAGGAAAAGCAGAGTCATTGTGGTGGTAGCAGTCACCCTGCAGCCCTGCATTGGACACCAGCATCTTCCACCAGTGTGTGTTGCTCAATGCTTTCCCAGGCTCATTCCATCTGGATATTTTGGTCTACACCTCCCATCAGCCCAACTGCTCTGCAGTCCAAAACACCGGGAAGATTGGGAAGGTGGTTCTAGACAGCTTTTTAGGCCCAAGTTGACAGCACAGGTACCTCCTGGTTTAAACCATTCTGCCAGACTGGGAAGGCTGAGCTTTCCATTTTGCTCAAGGTCAGGAGCAGACTGCAGAGGTTCCAGTTGCCATCATATTTGATGTTTGTGCTGGGAGTGCATCTGCCTGCCTCCTCACCTGCCTGCCTCTCCTCTTCCCCTGGCCACTCAACCTCTGGTGCTCTATGACTTCCTGCTTCAGGTTCCTCATCCGAGCTCTGAACCTCTCCTATGATGTCACTGCAATCGGTCTGGGCCCTGCTTTTCACTGCCGCTGCAGGCTGCATTTTGCGTCCCCACCAGCTGCTCTCGGCTCCTGTAAAGTGAGGCCCCTGCCATCTCCTGGATCTTGGCCCAAGTGCAGCTCGGAGAGGTTGTAGTCTCTGAAAAATAATATCCACACTTCACTCTTTCCAGGCACAGTCCACTTTAAAGCACTGTGTCTGAGTATGGCAAATGATAAGCCCTCTCTTACAGTCTAATCTGCCAAGTGGATACTAGGAACAACAGGATAATGATGGTTCCCTCTAGGCAGGAAGACCAACTGAAAACCACCATGCAGTAGCACACACAGGCAGGCAAATGAGAACAGAAATGGAAGACAAGAAAGTCCCTCTCCCCCTGTGCCCACAGGAGCCTGCAATGCCAGGGAATTGGAGAGGCTGCCCAGAGGGGGTGATGCAACCACAGCCTTGCCATGGCATCATCGGCTGTTGCTGCTACTGCTCTGAATTAAAGCACTGTTGCAAGACTCTGAATTAAAGCACCATCATTGCAGGACTCACCGCTCTTAAAGGACTACCACCTTGAGAAGGGGCAAACTTTTCAGATGGAGGGCTTGGGAAGGGCTTGGCCAAAGCTTGCTGGGCCTCTTTCCTGCAGAAGTGGAAAGAGAACTGTTAAAAGCTGACCATGGCAGAGCAGAATAGTGGGAACAACTATGCACCCACACATAAAGAGACAGGATTATGCTAGAGAGGGAGGGGGAGAGAGAGAATGAGGACTAAGACCACAAGGATCCCCTATCCCTCCCCAGTAGTCTAACTCCCAGACTCATTGCTCTACCTGCGCAAGTGCTCAGATGCTTCCTGGTGCTGCTGCAGAGCACCTGTCCAGGCCTCCTTTCTAGGTTGCAGACTGTCTTCTTTCAAGCTGTAACTTCTTTCTGGGGGGCTCAGCTGCCCCATCTGTGGGGTAAAGGGTGGTGAGGGAGGCTCCAGCAAGGTGAGGAAGCCCAGTGGCCTCTCCCAGACCTACCTCAGCCTGCAACTGTGGCCTCTCCAACAAGCCCAACAGCCTCTTAGCCCTCTGGTCGCTTCCGTCCAGCACCTGCACTGGTGGCCATGGGGGCTCATTGGCTGGGGGACTGCTTTCATTGCCTTTCCCTCTGGGGCTCTCTGAGGCTGCTTTCCTTGGGAGGAGGGCGCCAGTCTCTACAGTGCAGAAAAGCGGAAAGTCAAGGCAAAGGGAGTGAGGGAATAGAGCCAGCCTTGGCTGTCAGTACCTCCCCAATGCTAATTGCAGAAGACAGTTTCCATTCTTCATCCACAGTGATTGTCTATAGCAACTGAGCTGAAATTTGGATGTTGCACTTCAGATCCACTTATTAAATTTGTATACCACCCTTAATCCAAAGATCTCAAGGTGGTTCACACATGGAAGGATTTCATAAATCCAGGGTAGCTTTATACTAGTTATAAGGTTTTCGTTAAGTTACCAAACTAAACTGTTCCATTATGATCACACGTTGGTAAAAACAGTTTGCTAGGTGGTTTTAAAACAAGTTCCACTGCTGCTTAGGGTATATACATTCTAGGTTAGAACCAGAGACCTTTGAATGGCAGCGCTCACAAATTGTTCCTTTCAGGAAGTGGGTAGGGGAGAGAGGTGGTGGCAATTTGTGCCAATTCCCCCTTCAGCTCCTATCCAAGAAGCCCTTGCTGCCCCTTGCCCCTCTCTCCCCACCTGGGTTTGGGAACGCAGCTGCTGCCCTATGGCAGGTCGACCTCTCTACCCCCCATCTGGACTGGGAGGCCTCCACAACCATGGCACAGATGGTGATCTTCTCCTGGATGGCTCCTCTGCCCTCCAGCCACCTGGGCAAAGAAGAGCAATGTTCAGGGAAGCCTCTCTCCCCCATTCCCACCCCCCAGGGAAATAGCCTTTGGGCTGGGCCAACTTACCTGGTACTGGCCTGGCGGACGCAATCAAAGCTGGCCTGCGGCTGCTCTTTCGTATAGCGTGAGAGGTAGAAGGTGAAGCGGAAAGTCCGTGGGTCACGACGGCCAGCAGTGGCGCCGCAGGGCACCTTCAGATACTGGACAGCATAGAAAGAGAAGAGGGGGGATTTGGTCTGGCCCCTTGGCCTCAGCAGCAGGGCCTGACCCTAGACATGTGGCTGGGGGCTGTTTCTGTGTCTGTGGGACCTGGCTCTGCCTGAGTGAAAAACACTGTGGGGCGGTGCTTTTCCAGGGGTCAGTCTTGGCCCTGCGCAGGAAGGGAGTGGGCGGGGCTCCCCATACAGAGCAGCTAAGGCGCGGCTCCTGCCCACCCCGTTTCTTTCCCTCTTCCCTTGCTACTAAAGGGGACTTTCAGCCCGAAAAAGAAGCGGCTTTCGACGGGGCGGGCTGCCCCGTTCCAGCGCCAAGACAGCAGAGCACTCCGCGGGGAGGACGCCGCAGCCAGGCTCGGTCTGCCGCTCGCGCGAGACTCGTTAGCCGCCTTGCAGAAAGCCGCGGGGAGCTCGTTAGCAAGCAGGCGGCGCCCACGGCGATAGCAACGGCCACGGCGCCCCTCCGTTGCCCAGCCCCGGCGATGGGACTCGACAGGACCCCTGCCCAATGCACGGTGCTGGGAAATATCCTTACCCCTTGGCTGCCCTGGAAGGCGATCACGGGACGAGGCGCCGCCACCTGCAGAAAAAAAGCGGACAGTGAGACTACCCCTCCCGCCAAGTGACCGGCCGTCCGGCAATCGCCTCAGCCCAGCCCCTTACCTGACACCGCTGGTAGGCGAGCAAGGCCTGGAGGGCCGAGTCGGTCAGTTTCACGTGGAAGAGGCTGAGGCGGGCGCCCCGCGAACCGGGGCGGTAGGAAAGGCGCTCCGTCGCCCGCCGCGGCATCGCTGGAGTGAGCGGCTGTGGCGGCGGCGCCTGGGCGGGACTTGGACTCGACGGCGGGGCGGGGCCGCTGCTCCTTGCTCGGCAGCCGCTGCTCCCGGGATGCCTGGCCAGACCTGCCTCCGTTTGGGGCGTGGGAAAGGCCCGGGGCAAGAAGAGACCTCGGAGCTTTAGTCTGCCGTCCCTTCCAGAAGAAGGGCGCCGCCGATTACCCACCAAGCCCCTCAACAGTTTGCCCCGAGGAAGAACGGCCGGTCCCTTATCCAGGTCTTCGGGGGGAGCTTCAGCCCAATGTCGCCGGTCCCCCAGACCGGAGATCCCGGGGCTGGGCCTCCCTTTGGGCCCCTGGCCTCGCATCTACTCCAAAGCCCCCCGCGGCAGACCCCGGACGCTTGGCCACGTGCAGCGGGGCCACGTGCTTCTTGGGATTCTCCACTAAGCCGCTTAGAGCCCCGCAGGTCACCGGGCAATAATCTGGGGCGGAGGAGCAGCATCCCCTAAGAACCGCTAAGACTGTCGGATGCGCCTCTTCGGTTGAGCGGCTTCCCTCGCCCAGAAGACCTTGATAGACGTTTACTTCTGGGCATTGGAGCCAACTCCTAGGCGCCAAGGGGTGTTCAGCGCCCAAAAAAATATTTGCGGGGGCCGCCCTCCCCCACAGTTGATGGGCACTGCTATTCAAATAGTGTGCATGCTTACCGGCTCCCCCAATGTTTTATTGAGGTTGGCACTTCTGCTTCTGGGTGGTCTGTTCATACATGAGAGAATTGGGAGGGCAAAACCAACCTTGTGTTCTCAGAATCTAGCCTGTCAGGAGATGGGGAGGAACCCATTCATCCACGAGAGGAGAGGTATTCCCTCTTAGCGCAAGTCTTTGGGGCCTTGCGTAGTATAAGAGGAAAACCCCTTTTCCGTTGCGTCTGGGTGAACAGCGGGTTGCTGCTCCCCGCCTCTTCTGTTATAGACGCGAAGGCATTTACTTGGGTTTATTAAGGCAGCCCAAAGGGAGGGGCCCCGCTTGAGATGGAGGAGGGGGCCCTGCTGATCCCTGAGCCGCAGCCTGACGCCCAGATCCTCCTTGGAAGTAAGCCTGAGCGCAGCTGGGGCGTAGGGGGGCTTACTCTATAATTGAATTACAGGCGCTCAGTGCAGACTGAGGGAAGGAGAGACGGCTAAGCGGCCTCTCGCTTCTGCCGCTGCCGGCCTGCTCCGACCGTCGCATGCAAGGCGGGGAAGCAAATCCCTCCAGATCCTGATGCGCGGCTGCCGGCAAAGCCCCTCGCTCCGGGAAGCCCCTTCCGAGGACGGAGGAGCTGGCCACCATGTTCCTGGTCAAGATGTTTCAGGGCGAGGAGGAGGAGGAAGGCGAAGGAGCGGGCGCCAGCCTCGGGCCGGTGCTGCTGGAGGGAGGCAGCCCCCACCTTGGACGGAGGGTCCATTTCCTGCTGCCCCACACTATCATCCAGGAGCCCCCGCCCCAGCTTCAGGAGCGAGCCTTTTACCAGCGGCTGGAGCGCTTGCTGGGAGGAGAAAGAGGCGGCTTTGCAGGGCTCTTTGCGGCTGACGGCTGGGAGGACCTCCGAGGTGAGGCCCGGAGCGCAGGGGCCTTTCAGGCCAGGAGATGGAGGGTCCTGCTGCTGCCCAGAGGGCCTTGGACTCTTGCCCAGAGGGCGGTTCGGACTCTCAGACCCTACAATGATCCTCTCTGCTGCCAGTCATTGGGGGACGGGGTGACATCGCTGGCTAACAAGCGCCACAGCCAGAAGCCACTGGGGACAGGAGATGGTTGCTGGGTTCGCTGCCTCTTAGCCAGAAAGCCCCCTGCCCCCGCCTCAGCGACCCAGACCAGGGTCTGCCCTCACACCCATGGGGTTCTAGAGGTGCATCAGAATGAGGAGTGGCTTGACTGATGCCCACCTCAGCACCCCACAGAATGTGCGGTGGTGCATCAAAAGGTATAAGAGGATAAACGAAGGCAGCATAATGCAAATGCTTAAAGTCCTGGGTGACGTGGATCCCCCCCCCAGGCAGGAGAAAAACTGGTGGGTGTGGGGAACCACATTAAGACCTTCTGATGCCCTCAGCTCTGCCAAGTTTGAGAGGCCCCATTGTTCTACTCCTTCCCCCAAAAGTATATTAGTCTAACAGATCGGGAAGGCCAAAGAGAGAAATAAATGTTTTGTTTTTGCGTAGATATCAGTACAGAGAAGGTAAATGAAAACAAACTAGTCCCTTTTTTGCATTTGGAGGCCTTCATCACCTGAAGCCCTAAACTGTGGTGTACTTCACCTATGCGTAAATCAGACCCTGGCCCAGGACCATTTGGAGGTAACTGGGCAGGTGGGACACTGCAGCACCTCATGGTGGGGAGAAAGGGCCCCTCCATTTGGCCAGAGCAGGTTGTGTTGTGAGAGAGGGGCTGTAACTTCCTCATCCTCCAGCACTCCCTTGGCCTTCCTTCCTTTGCACCTGGGCAGTTGGAGTTCCACAAACTTCCTTAGGCAAACACCTCCACCTGTAGTTGAACTGATGCTCTCCTTTCCACCCTCCAGAGGACAAGTCCCTACGGAAGCGGCTGGTGAAGAGCAGTCCAGAGGGAGGCAGCTGGCCACAACTGGGCCAAGAGGTTACTGTGAAGATGCTGGGAATCCTGGAGGACCACAGCCTGGTGGAAAAGGACCAAAAGCTCACCTTTGTCCTCGGCCAGGGGGAGGCAATACAGGTAAGGTGTGGGAAGGCTGCAACCCAGGGGCTCCCTTGTTCCTTGCCCCCTGGTTTTTCCTGGCAGCCTGTCCCACAGGGGCAGCCCATTCTCAGCCCCCATTTCTCTCCGTTGCCTGAGCAACTGAATGCCACCAATGGGGGAGAATCCTGGTCGTTCTGCTTCTGTTCTGTTTCAGTGGAAAGGACTGGCAGCATTGCAGCCACCCCCAACCTCATGCTTACAGGGCCCTCCCTCCATATAGGATCTCACCTTTTCTACCTGTGCGCCATTATAGCAGAGGCCAATGCAGACCATGTGAGAATGGCTGTTGCGCCCAAGCCAATGTACTCTTGCATGTAGTGGTGCTGAGAGGTGTGACAGCAGGATATATGTTTGTTTGTGTGTGTGTGTTTTGGGGGGGCCTTCGGGTCAAGTCCTTGTTTCCTTTTTCTCTCCCTAGGCTTTGGACCTTGGCGTCCTCTCCATGCAGCTTGGTGAAATAGCCCTTTTCCTCGCTGGCCCTGCTTGTGCCTACGGTCACCTGGGCAGGTAGTCATCAGTCATTGCTCTGCACTGTGATTGGTGGGCAGGGAGGGGGGCAACATCAGGGTCCTTGGTGGGGGAAGAGAGCTGTGTGTTCTCAGAGGCCTCTCCTCCTCCTGCAGAGAGCCAGATATTCCCAAAGATGCCACATTGCTGTACGAGGTGACTCTGCTGCACGTGCAGGACAGACCGGACCTGTCGCTGTTGCCCACCATGGAGCGCCTCAGCCTGGGCAACCAGAAGCGGGAGTGGGGCAACTTCCACTTTGAGCGGGGGGACTACCAGCAGGCCCTGCACTCCTACCAGCAGGCTTTGCATGTCCTCTCCCTGCCGGGGACAGGTGAGGCACTGTTCTGAGGGCCTGGGATGCACTGGGGGATGAAGCCCTCAGAACACAGCCATGTGGGTGGGTGCTGGAAACATGGGGTTGGCAAGGGTTCAACTAGAGCTGGCCAGCAGCTTGCCTGGAAATAGTGCCGTAAGCCCAAATCTGGGCACTTTGGATGAAAAGGGAGATGAACCCTGTTCCAGAGGTGCTCTCCTGCAAAGGCACACTTGATCCATCCCTACCGCAGAAGCCCAGTTCTGGGGCTCAGCCCCAGCTGCACCTACTGACTGGGGGTGACGCTGCACCTGTGTGGGTTTCTCTCTAGACTGCCCGAGCCAAGAGGAGGAAGAGGAGCTGCATGACCATCGGGTCAAATGCCTCAACAACTGTGCAGCTGCCCAGCTGAAGCTGAAGCTTTTGGATGAGGCCCTGGCATCCTGCAATGAAGTTATACAGCTTGACCCAGAGAACATCAAGGCACTTTACAGGAAAGGGAAGGTGATGAGGGAAACGCCTCCCAGCCCCTCACCTGCTCCAGGGCCAGGAGGGAAGAACTTGGCTAGGGAATGGCATGCTGAAGGCCGTACAGCTGGCTGAGATCCAGAGTGTGTGTGGGGGGGGTGGCAAAGGTCCCTGTTCCACAATATTGACCTAATGCTATATCTGGATTGAAGTGGGGGGAAAGGGAGTTGTGACCACAAGAGGTGAGAGAAGGCATGAGGGAGGGGCAAGGAACAGCTGCAGAGAACAGCCAGAGAAAGAGGTGGACAAAGGCAGGCTCCCCACCCCTACCCAATTCATATACCACCCCATCTTTGTCACACTCTCTCTGCTATTTAGCTGTTGTCAGAGCGGGGAGAGGACCAGGCAGCCACCGCCGTACTGAAGAGGGCCCTGCAGCTGGAGCCAACTACCAAGGTGGGGCAACAGGACACGCTAGGGGCAAAGACAGGCAAGGGACAATGGCAGAGGTGGTGGGGAAGGTCCATCTTTGCTTCATCACCAGCTTCATCCTCTGCTATTTTCTGCACTTGCGACTGGCATCTCCCCCTTTGCTCAGCTCACACTGAGATGACATCATATTCCTAGTATTGGTGGGAGGGTGCTCAGGGGGCACTGGAGGTGATTCCCCCCCGCCTTTCCCGAGTGTATTAACCATTTGCTCCCCAGAAGGATTAAAAAGACCTTGGCTGTCTCTAGGCCATCCATGCTGAGCTCTCCAAACTAGCAAGGCGGCAGAGGGGGCAGCTGGAATGCCCTGGCCCAGGAGGGGCCACTCCAGAAGACATGGCAACACCCACCATTGCTCACAGTGCTCAGGTTTGTTATCACGGCCTAGTTAAGGCAAAGGATTGAGGGTCCTTGTCACTTAGCAGGTGCCTTCCTGCCACTTTATCCTGGGCTGCTGCTGGGTTTGGTTCCCAAGACTGATCCGGTGGCCTTGCGGCAGCTGCCTTTGTGGGCATGTTGTCTGGCCAGTGTGGTGTACTAGCTAGAGTGCTGACTAGGGCCTGGGAGACCAAGATTCAAATCCCCACTCAGCCATTAGTCTTATTGGGTGACCTTTGACCAGTCACTGCCTCCAAGCCTAACCTACCTCACAGGGTTGTTGTAAGAATAAAATGTGGAGATGTATGCCACCTTGAGCTCCTTGGAGGAAAGGTGGAAAAAATGTAAGTGATAAATAAGAAATTGTGAGGCTGTGAAAACTCATGTGTCTCCTCACTGCCATCTTTTGCAGACAGATGCTCCTGCTCCCCAGCCAAGCTGAGTGGCTGCTTC